TTTTTTTCGCCACACCTAACTATGGGTGGTATCCCAGCGCGCAGCAACGTAGTCGCGGGCAGCAGTTAGTTAAGAATAATTAAAAGCACACCTACTGATTGTGTAAATATTTTCTTAATACAAATTATATATGTGTATAGATTTATAGATTCTCAATAGTTATTAACTATATTACAAATTATTATCCATTTTCTTTTGTTCATTTAGCCATTTGTTGTGCATACATGCAAGATTTCATAATTCGACAATAAATGGAGTTTGATATAAGAGTCACAAAATATTAGATAAACACCCTCAATTACATTTTGAAGTTAAAATTTATCACTGACATGACTTATTAAATTGATGAGTATATTTTATGTATATTTTCTATATTTCATCTGATTTAATAATTAAATTATGTGGTATTGTTTCTCATAACTTTCGTATTTAAATTGTACACCAAGATGGCCCTTGCTGCTTAGTTATAATGAATAAAAGAAACTTTAAAAATTAAATTAATATTGCCATTTATTTTAATATATTTAGCAAAAGTATATGCATAATTAAATAAAAGAGTAACATTGAATTGTTATATAAGTATTAAAACATAATTTATGCATAAAAAGTTATTTCACTTTATGGGTGCATTAATCAAAGATTTAGTTGTTACTGGATTACCACTAACTTTACTTATTAATTTGTTACCTTGCCAAACAGCAAACAGATCATAATTAGTTTTTAAATCAACTTGCAATTTTTCCCAAATTTTCTTTTTTGGGTTTAAAATATCGTCTGATTCTCCAGTATCATAACTTTCAACTACAATTTTTTCTCCAGGTTTACTGTCTTTTGGTGGCAACAATGGTTCAACTTGTTTGGGTTCGTCAATGGATGCACATAGGACCATACCCTTAGATTCAACACCTCTCATCTTAGCTGGTTTCAGATTGCATAAAACAACTACATCCCTGTTTTGCATCTCATCAATAGGAACATAATTTACTAGGCCTGATACAATAACTCTCGGTTCTTCTTCTCCAACATCTATTTTTTCTACATATAATGAGTCTGCATCTGGATGTCTAGAAACTTCAACAATACGGCCAACTCTTATATCTAACTTGATGGGAGAAATTTCATCACTAATATTATTAGTAATTCCTTTAGCTTTTTGTGGGTGTGGATAGGCTTTCTTTGTTAACTCTTGGAGCTTACTTTCCTTAAATATTTCCTGAATAGGTGCTAAAAGCTTATTAATTGCTTGTTCAACTGATGCTTTCAAATCTCCTGGATGAATTTCCTGCTTGGCGAATGCCTGTTCTAAATCTTCAAATTTAAAATACTCCTTATTTCCACCATGCTCCTCTGCACGGGTGATTTTAAACGCTTCATCACGTTTCATTAACGGAAAAATTACATGCTTTGTAAATGACAGAACACCATTTTCAGTTATATTACCAGGTTCACAAAAAGCTTTTTTTAGCTTCTTTTTAACAATTGCAGGGCTATCAAGTAAATCAATTTTACTGTCTTCCTCAGAAGCAGACATTTTTCCACCTGTAAGACCAGGTACCATGGGATTCATCAGATGAATTCTCTTAGCATAGCCTAGTTGAGGTAAATATTTTTCAGCCAATGTAAATATTTTTCTTTGATCAACTCCTCCAAACTGTGCATCAACTTTTAAATATTCTTCATCTAAAGCTTGCAAGCCAGGGTACAATAAACCACTTAACAATGGATGTTCAACTTGCTTCACTACCTCAGCTCCAGCTTTCTTTGCATCATGCTCTGTAATTACAGATGTCAATCTGTACACATCCAGTGTATACTCTTTACTTAATTGATAATCTGTCCCTCGGACAAACCGGAGCTTTTCTAATGACACTCCGATCGAAGTAAGCATCGCTTTTATAGCAGCTTCATAGTACTGAGTACGAAGTGCTAAAAGCTCCCATGGCGCTTTCATATTGTCTAAATAAGCATGTAAGTCAGCAAATAAAATGGTTACCTCACAACCAGCTTTAAGAAAATCAGCAATTTTAGACATAGGTACAAAATATGCAACGTGGGGACGTCCTGTGGTAGCAGTGCCCCAATATATTTTAATATCTCGCTGCTTAAGTATTTCTATGAGCTTTTCTTCTCCTAAAACCTCTTGGAGGTTTCGAGTGATAAGTTGTTTTTTATCTTCAAATTCAGCCATCACTTTAAGCTTATGATCTGGAATTCAGAAAAACATGAAATTTAATAAATCGTATTTTAGCAGAATATTTATGTTTTAACGACAAAACTTACCTACTGATATAAAATAAAATGGCAATCGTTATACTATTAATTGGCCATAAACTTAATAATTGGCGTAGACTATTTCTTAAAAAAATTACAATGTACTTTACAAATTATTATAACAGGTCTGAATAACCTTACAAGACGGCTACATCACACTTTATAGGTGACGTGCCGTGTGTCACTACTCACTGTCACTGTCATAGTGACTGGAACGAGTCTCGATCTGGATACGCGTTTTTTGTACTCGAGTTGACGCAAGCAAGTTTGCACTCGTGTTGGCGAATCAGCTCTATGGCGGCGCACCGATTAAACACAATGAACGCTTGAACTTCACTATGCTGCCAATTTAGCATTGGACAAAAAAATATCTAAATGTTAAGTCTAAATTTTAGTATAGTTATCCCAAAGAACTTACACTAACTAACGTTCGTAAGATCTTTGAGAAATCCCTAGTAATGTGTTTTGATAATTAGTCGAACGACCAGATTCACATAATCTTACTCGAGTCCATCACTACATTGTCACAGCCATTGTAACATGGTCATACTCTATTCAGCGTAGTGACCAGTGATGCAACTCGAGTAGTACTTAAATAGCATATAATTATGTACTTATGAATTTTAGTAGGTATATTTTTCTGTAAATGTTGTTTGATGTTAACCCAGCAGAATTGACGGTTTCGTCAGAAGTAGTCTGTGGGTAAACGAGCCGAGAACTTAGGAGAAATAACGCCTTCCGCTCCATTGCATCTCCGCGACCCTGGTTAGCGAAAGATAGTCAATTGAACTAACAAGGGTTGACACGATCCAAAAACTCCTTTGATGGAGGTTCGAACCTTGGCTTGGAACGCCATTGATAGTGGAAACTATCCTATATAATATTAGCGTTCAATGTTTGGTTATGAAAAAGGAAATAATGAAAACAAATTTTAAATTATAATTACTTAATTAGAATTAATATTTAAGAAAGATCAAATTTCTTTGTATATATAAAGTTTACAGTATTAGCACATTGTTATTGCACATTGTTCACAGTGTTACACACCTACCTATCATAATATCATGATTTGTTTCTAATCATATGTCAGGGTTTGCTGGAAGAAAACTTTTTAGGGTTAAGCTCGCCATTGTACATTTGTTTTTGTAATTTCGTTTTCACTTACATTCCGTGTACATTAACTTTTTGGAAATAAAATTTTTCTAATTAACTACACCAATGATCAAACGAACGTAATTCGTATAAAAAACATTGTGGAATGTATATTTAAAATGGTTAAATCGGTCATTTGGTGTGTATACTAACACGTATCAGATATTGTGTATTACCTCCAACCATGTTTTTATGTATTGACTGAAGCTGGTCTAATTACATACTTCACCAAGAAAAAAATGTTGTTTTAACCGATAACATTTCGACATTTACATGTGAACCGTGCATCTGTGCCGGCGTCGACATATAAACGGTTTAGATGATCCGATAAGGAATTAACGCGCACATTAAAAAATTGTCTTATCCACCACCGTGCGACAACACAGTGGCACAAGGAAGCAGTGATCACTGCGCGCCACCAGGTATACCGTGGCACACATCGCATATATTTTCAAGCACACACCAAACACAGCACGTTTGACGGTGAATGTGAGATCCCCGATTCGCAGCCTACCCCCGATATCCCCATGTGGTAGGGCACTTTTGAATTTTTTGCCTTATCCCGATGGCATTTACATCTTCATCGGAAAAAAAGCCGTTAACTCCATTGCAAAAACGCGACCCCTGTAGGCGTGGGCGAAAAATTCGAGAGACGAGGGGCATAACACAATCCTACGGACCTCCCACTGATGAAGGTTCAAACTTCGGCTTGGACGGCAATCGACAGTGGAACCTATTCGGAGGAGGTCATTCATTCGAAATTGCATTTTAATCGCAAGTTTAAAAATATTGCTTTGTGAAAACTATTGATATAACGAATCTATAAATAAGTACAAAATGAACGAAAAATAAATTTAGAAAAATTATCAAATTCACGAAATAAATCCGTATTCAACTAGGCAAATATCTATTAATTGAAAAAAAGCACTAAAAAGAATTTTATTTAAAGTTTATTTTTAATTATCTGTAGCGCTATATGAAAAGTTTTGAATTTGTATGTACCTGATTTTTCTAAACATCCAAAAGTTCCAAAACATTTTTAAATTCATTTAATTTACTGTGCTTCCGAATTGAATCATTTAGTTTATTATAAATGAGCGTTAGTCTTGCTGGATTAATATTAGCAATGATATAAAAAAAACTCAAAATTTGGTTTATTTATTATGAGCTCGTTTACCTTTACAAAATACGAAACTTGATGCAAATTTAACAAATATACAATAAGAAAAATAGTTAATCAAAATGTGAATACACAAAAAGGTGGATATGGAATAATTTTCCATTCGAAGTTTAAAATTGGCGCTACTGTGTAGTGAATGCTTGCGTTTCCTGTCAAAAGCGCCATTGCGCATGACAGTCAGTGCGGCCTTGCAGACTGAAGAGCGCTGCCAACAAAGGCCGAGTCGATGGGGTTACAAAAACTTGTTAATTTGGACTTTTAAAACCCTTTTGTTATCATAATTATAATTTTAAATAGGTTGTGAATCTGTGATTACGTTAAGAAATGAGTGAATGATATGAATTGTGACGACTAGCAAAGGAGTCAGCTGGTCCACAGTGCGAATAGTGAATAAGAAATGGCGGCCTTGCCAGCAGGTGTTCAGTATGGGTTATCATCTGAGTCTAGTTATAAAGAAAACAAGGAACTAGTGTTTGTGAAACTAACGGATTCAGCTTTGAAAGCAATAGAGGACTTCATTAGAAATAATAGGGTAAGTTCATACGCCATATTGTTACTACCAAAACAGGCCAACAATGTCAGGCGCCATACTTATATTTCAAGTAATCATAATGAAACTGCGAATCTGTAAATATTTTTGCAAAACATTCTTTACAAATTTAAACATAGAAATGGTACAGATTTCACCATGAAAACGTTTTATAATTAAATTGTTCCTTACGTAGTCACGCCACGTCAACAAGTAGAAATTTTACTCAGTATTATTAAAGAGTTATATTTCATTTGGCTATTATTAGGAGCGCTAAAGATCATTTTGCTTCTTAATTCAATGTTTCGAAAGCCTATCAGAATATTATTAACTATAACTTCTTTTATTTTAGTGGCAATATCGAGTTTTGAAACTTGTCTTGTGTAATTTGACGCTTTGTTGCCGAGGGTAATAATTTACAAATAAGGTGTTTAAGTATAAAAGTACAACAATTACTTACGCCCACGTATTCACGCAGTTATATTTTTTTATTGTTAGTTTTAAAAGATTTTAGTTTTGTTTTGTTGCTGTTTTATTTTAAATCTCAGTAAACCATTTTGGTAAATTTGCCAATTTTAAATATTAATAAATTCAATGTTAATTATTAATATTTATATTCCATATCTTTATTAAACCATTGATTAAAAATATTTTATAGAAATATATTCAACAAATTCTATCAGAACAACGAAGTTTGTTTTTAAAAAATGATTTTTTAACAACGTTTTTGGATATTGTCTATCATCCTTTTACTATAACTAACTAACTAACTTAATATCAGTTATTATGAATTTCATTTTTTTGCTCTTTCTATTACAAACAACGAAGAGGTTTAAAGTACATTCTTGAAGTCATTTACTTATGGTCATTACTGGCAATTTACACAATATTGATTATGGCTATAAAGGAAATAAGTTTGCATTGAACTTACTGTTTGTTATTAAAAACAATATAATGGGAGAAGTTATAAAACCTTCCAAAGAAACTTGTTATTATTTTAAAAAAAACTACATAAAAATACAAAATTTATACAAAAAAAATGTATAAATAAAAAACACAAAACTGCTTCTTTCAACCTGTAGTGTTTCAAATTGAGAGAATTGTCCATTGATTCTTATGTAACCCATGGGCATAATTGATTAGGATAACTTATAATTATTATGACCCACACATTTTACAGCAAAAGTGCTCCAAAAGTAAGCATTTAGGTTTTTTTGTAATTCATACTAATCTGAGACTGCTCCTGTCAACTAACAAACAATATAAAATCATGGATTATAATTGCCATAAAATGACCTTAACCACAAAACCAATCATGAGAAATGAAAAAGGTTTTGTACCTGTTACTAGTTATATTTGTACATAATATATGATGATGTGACCATAAAATATTTAAAATTATGTGTGCCACTGAAATACTAATAGTACATACTGCTAATAACTTATAATAGTAAAACTACTACTACTTTCAACCCATTACGAAATCCTAGATGGTTACCATTTTGGTGATATAATTACATGGTATATTTATTTCCAACACAATTTATTCAACCATTTTCATTCTTTACATCATACTAGTAATTTTTCTTAAAGTTTAGTTAATTGCCCAGAGAACTGTACCTTATTTAAATAATGATCATAAAATCATATAATTCATATCTTTTTTTATAAAAAACATTTCAAACAGTACTTTTCCAATGCACATCCAATAATCACTAAGCTTATCATTGTGAACTTCTATAAGGCTTCAAGAAAGGTATCAGTCGCCTGCCTGCCTGCCTGTTGAGAAATTAAAGGGATGAAATAGATTAATACCTGAACTCTATAATAACTCTCTATACCAATTGCTCATTTAGCAATTATTAGTGTGCAAAATGTATTTTTTTTTTAATATTGTAAAAACTTTGGACATTCTTCACTGTCACTCCAATTTGGTATATTATATTGTATATGAATTATGAGTTTTTTAAGATTCATTTGTAAAGTTATCATAAAAATTGAAGTTTAAACTAGTGGTACTAAAAAAGAATATTCATCACATTCTTATAGTTTTTGCACTTTTACCACTTCAAATTATGAGATCTGATGATTAAATGTTGTTATTTTATTTTTCTAAAATACCGATTTAATTATACTTACATTTATTTGGGAGAGACACCTAGATTCTAATATTATTGTCAGTTCCAAACTTAACATTTTATTCCTATATTATATAAGAAACGCCACCCAGCTTTGTGGAAAATTTCGTGCTTCTAGCATTTTCTAGAAGTATCTTATCACACAATTATCTAGACCTAGTTGATACTATGACTTAGTGTCATTCAATATTGGATTTTCATTAAAGTAAGTGATTAAACAAAATGAATAAGTCCTATTGTCATGTATTTATTTTATTTAACCTCCTGTGACACCTTACTTGATAGTAATTTAACTACCTATGTTTTGTTTTTTAATATGTAATATTAGTTCACCTTAAGAAAATTTCTTAATTATCTTTTTACAAGGAATTTGTTACTTGTAGTTTTCTACTTTAGTAGTAGTGTATCAATTTTATATTTGTAACTTTTCTTTTAACCAAGCATGATGGTGTGTTTTGGAAATGACGTTAAGTACCTATATACACAACTACGGACTATCTTATCGTAAATACAATCTTCGACTTAGAATATATTCAAGATTAATTGTTAGGCATATTATGTCACCTAAAATTATCCTTGTACTAAAATATTACATAATATATTAGTTGGTTCTCGCATATCAAAATAAAAACTTCTCTGGAACTGACCTCACTGCCTATAATGCATACCCATAATTTTTGAAATATTTATACATTTCTTAAGAATTATTGAAAACATAAAAAAAATTACTACATTTTTGTTTTTCAACTGTCGACTGATCTATATAATAATTTTAAACTGTTTTAAAAAGCTAAGTAAAAATAAACTGTAACGCGTCAATACTGTTACCACATTTCATTGTATTTCAGTAACTCGTTAAGGGAAATGTAATTGATAAATACGATACGAAAATGATATAAATTAAGCACGGTGGACAGGCACGTTCCGAGAGGGGTATTTCGCAAAGGCAGCGCGTTAGGTAAGCGAATCGGACTACTAAGTCGGCAGCAATGACAATGCTGGGGCGGCACTCGCTAGTCGCGGTGAAAGTATGTGCTTTGGTATAAAAAAAAACTCCGGATGACCTCGTTGTCTAGCTATAAAGTCGGAAAATTCGCAGCATTTATTTACTGACGTACTAGTACGACATCGGACGTAGGTACCTAAGTGTCAATCTTTTTGTGGTACGCTATGTGATTGTAGCATAAATCACTTGTGGAACTATAAATCGGATGAATACATTACATTTGGATTTGTTGACTCATATAGGAAAATGCGGAAAAAAATATCATTTAATAGCTGTGTTTTTGTTATGAACTATGTAGTGTTAACCATTAAATTTATTGTAACTTAAGTAATCTATTTTTTTGAAGGAAAACTAAAGACAAAGTTGAATCGATAGTAGTTTTATAGTACGACCAAAGAATTGTCATAAACATAATTCGATGACTAGAATGTCTCAAATAACACTATTAGGTATAATCTTGCAACATGAATGTCGTTAACGTGAAGTATTGTTTACAATGCTACAATGTGATATATAAACCTTTTTCACTAGCGCAGTTTTCTTTCACAATTAGCTTTGGAAATATTATTATAAAGCATTAGATCTTGCACAAGTTCTATCATGGTCCTTGATTTTATTATTTAATGAATTAGTAATCGTGTTGAGTTTTCACTTTTTTAAATTGGTGTTATGTCGTCACATATTTGTACACTTTCCACCCTCTTTTTTAAACCAATTCATAATTTAAAAGTTCATGATTATAGTCGTATAATGCGGTTCTTGGCCGTCTTTTAACTATATATTTGCGTATTTCATTAAATCAAAACTGTTAATGGAACAGTATACCTAAATACGTATTAATAACTAACGCTATACTTCAAATGCTCAAATGAGAATTCTAAGTTACTTAGCCTCTAAAACCAGCTCCGCTTTGATTGTAACCGATTTGAGTCCCATCTTATTCTACCGATTGTATGTGCACTCGTGTCGCGTAGACAGGGTTTAGGGTCGTCGCACCCACGGCCCCCCCCGAACCTTGACACCTGGCTATATGTACTCAGTTCGAAACAGATGTGTCGACCTCGAGAAGGGACTTAATTTTTTAGTTTCTTCTTATTCATGCACTTAAATTGTCCTTAACAACAATCAAAAATGGAATTACACGTTTTCTTTATCTTATAAAATTCTATATATAAAATTCTCGTGTCACAATGTTACCTACCTTACTCCTCCGAAACGGCTTTACTGATTTTTGAAATTTTATATGCATATTCAGTAGGTCTGAGAATCGGCTACTATCTATTTTTCATACCCCTAAGTGATAAGGGCTGTTCACCCTTAACATTTTTTTTTAAATTTTTGGACAAAATTTCTTGTTTTTATTTTGTGATAATATGGTGATTATATTTTTCTCTTGATTAAGAATATGATATCGGTTTAGTAACTGGGCTGTTTTTTGATTTCTCAATGTTATGTTAAAGTCCGTCTAACGTTACATTATAGGTGAAAAATATGAGGAATTACCTATATAAGATATGAACAATTTTTAATCGAACTTATGGGGGGATGATGCGGCATGGGCAAGGTAAGCAATACAGTTTCCGATTTCCGATCTTAGATCCGGAGGCGACCCAAAATGAGATGATATGATATTGCGATTGAGAGGATCTACTCACAAAATGTCGAGCACAGAAATATGCGGGATGGATAAGGAAGTTTAATTATAAGGATATATAGCCGGGGCCCACTTGCTTCAATGGTGGCAACGCATTTGCAACCCTACGGGTATGGCAAATTTCCATGGGCGGCGGTCATTACTTAACATCAGATGAACCGCCAGCTCGTTTGCCACCTTTTTTGCATGAATAAAAAAAAGAAGACTCTACCATTGTGACATTCATATGTAGAGACAGATAGTTTTTTTGTAATTCATAAACGTAGGTTATTGATATTCATCTTTCTCATTCATGTTATTAGAACGTGATCTATTTATGATTGTATAATCTGTGAATTTGTACAGTGATAAAGCATTTTTAAGTGATGTCAGCATATAAGCAATCTATTGCAGAACGACGCCTCGACGAATCTGAGTGAAAACTGAAAAGTAATTACTAATCGGAGAATGGATTATGGGTCAATTGCTGAGTTTTCTAGAATAGAATTACCTAAATTAATGCATGAATAGCCTTTAAAATAACATGTATAAAAAATACAAAAACCTATGTTTCTCCAAAAACGAAAGAAAGATTTCTTTAAAACTTCAATATTACTTATACCATTACATAACGTTCATAATCATAGAAAAACAAACCAAATTAATTTTTATTCATCTGGGTTTTTTATGTTCTGCTTGGTACCGATTGTGGTAAAATTCGCCTCGGTAGTATTCGATCTAGACACAATACTTCTCAGTGCGGCCCGGCTAGCCGAAAGAGGCAGAACTGATTAACCATTCTTGACTACTACCTGATTATAACTTGTGCTAACTCAGTAGAAGTCTATTCTCGTCATCGCTGTAATCGGAAAGATTGTTTTTCTGTGCTGGACAAAATGACTGTTCGAATGCAAGGGGTACAATTAAAAAGGCTAGCAAAGTCAGCGTACACCTTTATCCAAACAACGATTAAATGAAACGACTATATTTGATGCAAGTTATAAACAGATTTATTCAGACCATAGTTGTCATAATCCAATATCCACCCGGCCGAGTATCCTGTACTAATATGGGCATATCTTTGCATTATAATAAATATATTATATTGAAATACCTTTACGTGAAATGAATAAGTAAGTGTTAACTTTTACCGCCATAAATAATCTCCCTCTTGGTTAGTCCTCTACAAATTTTCCGCTTCAACTAACTCGCCGGCTACTCGCATTATCAAACCACCTCGCGTGCGTGCTTTCGTTCCGTATGCGAAACAAAAAGTATCTGCGTTGATCCCGCGTGCAAACTATGCGCGAACCAAGTTTCATCCAAATCTGCTCGGCCGTTTCGACGTGAAAGACAAAAGTTACAATCGCACTCGCTAAACTCTGTCAAAACTTAAACAGCAGTAAAATTGTTCATTTGTGTAATTCAGTCTTAATGACTTGTTGACGATAATCCACTTGAAATGTGCATAATATAACACTGGTTACTTCCTGATAATGGTGGAGCGAAGTTGGGAACGGTCTCAGACATTTAACTACATTGATTTCCTGTTGCACGAATGGAGGCTCGTCCTGGGAAGTACCACGGCCTCACAGAATACCAGCGTGAAGAAAGCCTTTGTACAAATCCTTTCATGTATTTACATTTTTTTCATACTCTCTGTGAACATAAATTATAAATAAATAAATAAAAATAAGAATATAATGCTTTCGCGTTGTCCTATCCATGTCCATGGCGGTAATCACTTAACAGCAGGTGAACCACCTGCTCGCTTGACAACTTTTCACATAAAAAAATCATATCAATCTCATACATGCAATTGTAATTTCATAATACATAAAGCGTACGTCTTTTTTATACAATAGGTATAGAAAATAAAATAAAATAGTATGAAAATAAAATTCGTATATCCGTGGATTTTCATCGTACCTTTGTAATATTTTGTTTTCTCTTTTATGCGGCAAACGTGCTGGCGATTTACCTGAGGTTAGTTGATAACGACCGCCCATTGACAATTGCAACACCCGTAGGATTGCAGATACGTTACTACTTTTTTAATAAAAATGAGTCCCGGCTATCATCATACTCATACTCACCAGACGAAACGCAGAAGTATAGCACTTCCACTTCACGCCGGTGTCACGGACTTGAGCACTCGTGCAATAGAGAAAAGAGCGTGGCCCTACCACAGATATAAAAATAATAATATAAAATTATTCATTAAAGATCATTTTTCAATCATCAATTATTTACCTACTTCTCATCTTTCATGTTATCATTCTTCCATTGAACAAGAATTGTATAAAATCTTGTTTTTATCATTTGTCTGTAAACCCGAATTTGAAAATTTAAACTTCTCTCTACATTATTATTACTTACATTACGGCTGTGATATTAAATCAAATAGTTAAATCCTTGCGATTGTGACCTTGCTTTTTAAAACTCATTGGCATTTGCTTCGTATCTAAATGGCATTATAATTTTAGGACAGGTTTTTTTTAATTTCTTTATACAACGACAACACGAACGCATTTATATTTAAACAAGACAACACTTAGGTAAATGTGTCTCGTAATCACCGCTCATTTCATCATTAAGCATTGATATAGTACGAGGCTAGGCGACTGCATTAAATGAACTCGTATAAATAAATAATATACCGGTCGAGGTTCCGCGCGAGTTCCGGGTCACCCGTGTACATTTGTAGGCACCGCGGCGGTTCCTCAAAGTTTCTAACGTTTCGCGCCGCCTGTTAAGTAAGTAACTAAAGCAATTTTTGAGTTTACATCACCACAGCCGCCCCAGCCTAGTTACGTTTCTCGCCCGACTATCGCTCGTTGTGCAACGCCCGCAACTTGCCGACACTTGCTCATTGTGGCCAACGCGACTCGTTGACCAACTAGTTTTGGCTCCACCAAGTCGCTAGACTTGCGATGTTGCCTCATGTACACACACATACATAATATAAAGGTTATAACCGTCTGTCCTTGTGCTATGTGACTGTATCAAATAAGACCAGCTCAGCGTGAAAAGAAACCAATGATTCGTTTTTTCAAACAATCAAATATAGTTTCGGTTTTAGTTATCGTTATAACGCATTCGAAACGTTAATCGTGGGTAATTTCCCTTCTTTTTATGTAACGCTCCACTAAAGGAAAACGTAAACCCAAGTTATGATTCATAATTCGTATAGCTAGCGCCTTATAAAATGTGTACCTTTCGTAATTACATGTGTTTTGTCTCTTTTTATATTCAGTTTTCCAAACTTTTTTCATTCAATGTTTATAGAGAATATAATATATTACTACTACTATAATTTTCATATTGACACTTTGGTACTGTTCATTTTGAAAAGAGGTTAGTTTTTCCTGTGAATTGAATCATGCAGCGGGTTCCCCGAGTCGACCTGGAAAGTTCCACGGCCCGCGGGAGACTGGCGTGAAATAGAAGTATTTATGATGGAGGCTGACATTAGTTCTACAACTTGTAGGTTGTAATTGTTCACCTTTGTAGTTAGGTGAACAGCTTGCTTGTTTGCTACCTTTCTACCTAATTTTGCTAGTTTTTTCGTTTTATCGTTGATTTGCCTCCTCTTTCGTATTGAGGTCAGAAAGGGATTGGAACAGTCTTCAGTCAGTCTTTGCATACCCTGTCGTCCAATACCAACGTGCCCTAAATGTAAATGATATTTTTACTTATTCATTTCTTGGTTTTTAAGCGAATATCATACATTGTTAAATGAATACATTTTACGGATTTTATTGCGTTAGTTAAATTTTCAATTCCCGACGTTTCCTTTCCAGCGTGACAGGCCATGAACAGCCGTCAACGGAACATAATGGACAGTCGGGATTTTAAAAATCTAATTAAACGCGATAAAATCCTTAAAATAGTTTCATTTTACAATGATAGCTTTACTATTATAATTCACGTCTTTCCAGCTCATTGAGTTTCCCATATATTTGTGTTTCAATGTATACCGAAACAGTGCTGATATTATAGGATTTTTTGTAGGGCATACCCTGTCTGAAATCTGTATGCACGCCACTATCTGAGAATGTAATCTTACCTAACATTAGATGAGATAGAGACTAGTAGTCTAGTAAAAATACAAACACTCGAGAACATGAACATTAGTGTATTTAGCCCAAACTATAAATCGAATTGTGACCCGTAACTAATTTCTCTTCTTTCTTTTTACAGGACAAATTGGCAAAACCTAAAATACAGTTCCTACCCGGAAATGAAGGGGTGAGTATTATTCGTGTTTGCTGCGACTTTATTCTATAAGATTAATATGTATCGAAACACTTATCGAAGCGCCGTGATTGATATGGTAATGGCTTTGTCCATCCGCTTGTACATAAAAACTCTTTGTGCGTTAGGAGAATGCCTCAAGATCTTTTTTTTTTTCTTCTATTCAATTTATAGTATTATAAAAGCACGTTACAAGGACACCTCCGCAGATTACGCAAACCGGCGACCTTATCATTTCGAAGATATTAACAAGGCAACATTGAGGAACAATATTACCAAAGCGATGACGTTTCTAATTTCTTACACGTTTGCTTATACGCTTAACGATGATGGACATTTTGATATTCAAGGCGCGAAGGTAACGCGATGGAGTAACGCTAGCCGCGCAAGGTGATGAAAGGCGTGCCATTGTGATGTACGATTATTTTTAATTGGAAAGAAACAGTTGACGCTTCTATCGCGTTCATTGTCTCAATTATATCCCTGCGCTAAGAACACCCAAACTATGGTGCAAATTTGTACCGTCTTGGTAATGAATCCACAACGATTCGTGTGCACACAGCACACGAATTGTTGTGGATTTTATATCAAAAATTTATTGATAAGAATGAGCACGCTACTATTTAAAAACATTTTGATCATAGATACACACTGTTTATTTTGTATAGGGTGAAAGTTAACCGCGATTGTCGATGATTTAAAACAATTGTATCAATACAATTGTGCTACAGGATCTTTCCAGATAATACACGCGACTGGCCACTTGGCTTAAGGCGGAACAGGCGAGCTCGAGGGCCTTGACTCGACTGCAGCGCACCGCAGTTTGCGACTCCACTCGATACGATACGCTTGCGAAATTGTTTGATGACCCACTTAGCGGATTTCATTTCGCTCGCCGTTTCGCCGTACACTTTTTTCTCCATCCCATTTCGAAATGTCCACATCGGCTTGTATAAGCAACGGGCCCGGCCCCCGACGGACGATGTATTTGTAGGTCTTAGGTCTTCGCACGAAGCTAACTTTCGCTATAGCGCACCGACGGATAGCACCCACCGCACCCGTTGTTACGCAACCCGACACGTTTTGAGGCGATCGTTCAAAACGCACAAATAATATTCCGTGCATGAAGCCGAAGTGAATGTAATTTTGTTTACAAGGCGATAATCCGCCGCGATCACGGCGCTCGACGAGCGGCGCCGTCGACCGGTTTGCTCTTAGCAACCTCGCGACTCGATGCCGGTTTGACGTGATCTCTTCTCCGCCTGCTTAGCAGACGGTGTATCGACCATTTTTGTCCACGCGGAGCAATGAATTTTCCCGTTTTTTATAATCTAACGCTCGAACTAGCAAAACGATCTCGATACTTTTGCGTTAACGTCCGCCTTAGATCCGCGATAAGATATTCGACATTAGCTAGTAATCGAGATATCTGGCGAGGTCTTCGCCGAATTACTTCGGCAACGTAATTTCATTCTTCGAATATCTCGCTATCGGTGTGTCGAGTCCCGGTCCCTGGCGTATATCCAACTTACACATAATAACCACAATTCAATGAGTCGCAGACCAGAATAGTAAATAAGATGAAGTGGACGGTGTAAAAATAACCACCTCGCCAGCCGGTAGCCGTATTACTTACTGTTGCACCTTCCAGGTGCGAAGGCCGTTGTCCCCTTAACTCCGTTTATCGGTGCAACTTTTTTTACAACACTACCGTCTGACTTCCGGATATATACCGAATCTCGGGTCAAATATTTAACACAGCCTCATAAATAATCTTCAAAATTACTATTTTTTATCAAAATGGAATACTAGAAACGCAATTTTCTTTTAGTCGTGCTGTCTGTCATATTGCTGGCTATCGTTTTTTATATTTTTATTTTAACTTCCCGAGTTTAATAAACGCGTGAAATCTTTACTTGTAATTGTTGAACAGTTTACTTAGTATTTGTGGAACTTAATTCTTATACTGACATTACAGATGTGATAATTAGTATAACAATAAGAACCCGCATACTGCATAGTTGTGTGTAAAATCAAAAAAAGTATTCATAACACTATAATATTTAACATGTTCGTACACCATTTATTTATTTTATTATAAGAGAAAACCAGTGCATACATTTTGAATTAAAATTACAAGGTACAAAGAATACTTTCTGACGTACATTCCATATTAGGCGCTAGGGCACCGGCGCAGTAACATAATGGCAGTGTTAATAAGTTGAACCTTCGCATGAAATATTCTAGAACATTAGGGCACGCGAAAAATGAACTTTAGCGGCGTCGTGGCATGACCGAGCCGACGAACCCGATACATACAATGTAGGTACGTATTAGCGATGCGTAGGCACTAATGCAAGTCGAATACGTTTTGATCCATTCGGGTCGATGTCCTCGGGGTCGCTTTATTTATTTACCACCATCGCTCGCGGGCCCGTTACTGCAAAGCGAGCCTTGGTAACAGGATCCCGATGCATTGTGTGATTGTGCGCATGGGTGTGGACACTCGCTCGCCTCTCGGCCGTACGGGTTCCGACCGATTGTTGTTTATTTTCAATCGCGGCACTTTTAACAGCGACCGCCTCGCTCGGAGACGTCGGTTAGTCGCCATGAACAATTAGCGGGCTTTAAATCCGTTCATTGCGACATAAATATTCCGCTATTGCACATACATGATTATTAATGTAATGATATGAAAAGCGATCGACTTTTTCGTAATTTTTAATGGAAAACTTGTCTGATCATCATATGTTGGGACCTTAAAAATTTAGAGTAGATATCGTTGAAGCAGAAATGATTTCAGTGAATTTACGTACACTATAAATTGCATATATGCCAAAAATAAAATTGAAATGTACGTTTGTGATTTTAAGGTAGATATATAACAATGTTTATTTGAAAACTGCTATATATACCATGCCAATTATAGAAACTGTTTTTGTTTGTCCGTTTGCCTGTAAGTTTGTCTTGAAATGGCCCCGAAATGTCTAAATGACTTTCAAAGTAAACAATATTTTCTCATTGATTTAAAGTTAGAATTATCACTTAAGTTTTTGTGTATATACACATGATATCTTAAAGGGTTCAGAAGAGATTAATATAATTGTTTATTATGAAAATATAATTAGTTTTGATTTTAATTCGGTTACTAGAGCCGAAGAGATCGAAGACGCCGGTATAAGTCATACATAGTACAATACATAATATCAGTCTTACTTAACGATTACTTGTATCTATACAATACCTCACACACAAGTGATTTGCTTTATAAAGTGCTTAAAGCTTCGGGAATTTAAGACGAAATTGAAACAAATAAAACCCGTACGGCATTTTTATTTAACAATATGTCTCTTTATTACTGATAACGCTGCAAATAATTCGCAATGACGCTGTTAGCACGAACTTGCTGGTCCGAGGAACACCACAGCCTCGCAGTAGAAGGCGTGTAGTTGAAGTATTTAACTTTTGGGTGCGGTAATCAGGGACACCACACTTTGAACAAATGACATTAAACACGACAAGCTTATAGATCATGTCGGGTCTTTTTGATTAGGTTTTGAGACTGTACTTTGCGAATGAAATAATTTAATCACTACATAGTATAAAACAAAGTCATCCCGCTGTCTGTCTGTACCTATGTATGCTTAGATCTTTAAAACTACGCAACGGATCTTGATGTTTTACAGAGGTTCCTCTTGAATCACTCTATCTAAGTGATTCAAGAGGAACCTGTGTGAAGGAATCCGAGCCGTGTCGCTAGTTCTATTATAATTTAAACGTCCGTGTGCTTTTTGTGGAATCGTTGTCGATGGATCTAATGTTTTGCTTTCTCTACATATTGACCGATTGTTCCCGAAGTTTACTTCGAACAAAGGCATCTTGTTCTATGCTCTGCCTTTATCACACCGTTTCGCGTGCCTCCACGTGATGTATTTAACACAATGGTGTTTACAACCGCGAATACTTCTTATTGTGGCCACGCGTCGTGGTCGCAACTTTTAATATGTCAGCGCAATGGTCAGTCGGATCAGTTTTATCCTAATTTACGATCGTGATATAGATTTGCCGTTGATCTAAATCTTATCGAAGCCTACTTTGAACCACTAAGCCGAAAGATTAACGGCTCGCACTGATCTAACGCATTCAACCTCCGGGTCGTTTATATGTACGTGCTTCAAAATTTTTGGTCTGTTTGAGGTCCCAGTTTCTTAGCTAATCTAAACTACCTTATCTCAATAGTTGTCGAATGAGGAATGTAACGCATTCTCCTTTAGAGTCTCTCTCTGTTATTTTATAAACAAGATGGCAAAGGCAAGTATCCAACGGCACCTGGGTTGTAAGCCTCGGCCTTTGCACGTTTGCAATATTAAAATTAGTTGCAGAAGCGTTGCAATCGTTTATCGCATCTCGTCTGCTTGTCAAGTGCAGTCAGTCTATCAACATCCAGTAAATGAGATAATTTATTACTTTAGAGTATTACTTCTTTCCTAAGGAGGATTGACGTCAGGCAGGCAGCCGGGAGTAAAAAAAAACAACCAAAATCGCTTACACTATGATTCACATGTTGTGCTGACCCCATATAGGTGGAATAAGGGCAGGAGGATGATGATGTTAACATCGTACAAACCTAACCAATACCAATAACAACATGGTACACTCACCCACAAACTGAGAAGGGCAGTAAAGTAAAGTAACAACAGCCTATGAATGCCCCACTGCTAGGCAAAGGCTTCCTCTGTAAAGATGGTATCAGGGCCTACCACGCGACCCCAATGCCATCTACGCAACGCACAAGCAGGCAGTAGGCGAGATCTCCTCGCGTGGAATGCCCATCGCTCATAATGGCTCTCCCAAATACCTCGGCGACCTGCTGGACAGATTTCAAAAAAAAAATGTGAGGGCCTGAAACGAAAGGTGTACTGCCGCAACAACTTGTTACAAAGTCTGGTACATACTGGGTGGGGGGCTACGACACATGTGGTGCGCAGTTCAGGCCTGGCGCTAGCGTTCTCTGTCGGCGTGTTCGCGTGCTCCGTATGGGGCCGTCCTGTTCACGAAAAGCTCGTGGATACAGCTTTAAATGAGATAATTTGCTGTATCCACTGGCTGGCATAGCGCCGCCGGCTGTACCCAGAGCCGTTGCGAGCTCGCGAGAGAGGGCTAAGGGTGAAGAAGGCATGCGGCACCTCTTATATGGACTCGAGCCTCCACCGCAAAGACGGAAAAGCCGAAAAAGTTTTCTTAAAACACGTCACAACCGAGCCCTCTCAAGCGAGATGGAGATTGTGGCGTAATGAAACGCTGCTTCCGGACCCCTTCGTCCGCTATCCGAGAGTCTTCTGCCTGGGCACAGATTGACTTGGCTAATCTAAAAGTCTTTAAATAGACTTCGGACTCAGGTTGGCCGGAGCAAGGAAAATATGTTTCAGTGGGGATTCTCGAAGAGCCTAGACCTAGATTGTGTGTGTGGAGCGGTACAGTCCATGGCTCATCCTCCTGTCTTGCCTGTCCTTCCACGTCGCAGCATTTGATGGACGCCACGAACTGTGCAGTCGAAGTGGCCAAGTTCTGGGCCGGATAAATCTAATTTGTCATCGACACGCAAAGAAGAAGACTTAAAATCATTAATTTCATCGGTGCTGGCACCGGGGATCGAACTCAGGAGGTTGGAGTAAAATAAATTAAATGCCAGCGCCCGAACACTGAGCCATCACGGCAAAACGGCTAGAAGGGCAAAAGAAGGGCTAACTAACTAACCGAGCTCAACTCGGTCGTTAGTGCCTTCGAGTGCCCTTAATGTTTCCACTCGGTCACATGTCATGGTTGTAGGGTCACGCAGCCGCCTCGGCTGTTGCATGAATGGGCAGGCTCGTCGGGGTAAGTACCACGACCTCACAGAAGACCGGCGTAGAAGAAGTAGAAGTATTATATATTCGAGTTTCGTCAGGTGAGTGAGGTGGCCGGAGACCAATTTTCAAAAGGTTGTCAACGTATCTGGAACACTCGGGTGCAGCAGATGTCAATTCCGGCGGTGTTCACTTAACATCAGGTTAACCGTTTGCCCGCTTGGCAACTTTTCACATAAAAAAAAATGTCGGATCTTGGATGGGGGGTGCGGAGAGGCCAATTTGGGTTCGATTTCCTCGTGGCAATTGGCGCGGTATGCGGACGGCGTTTCGTCTTATTGGGACCGCGACTCGGTCGGACGTGCGTTGTTCACTTTCACTCCACCACACAGTCGCCGTCGCTTTGCCCAAGCGATTTCGACTCGCCTCGTACTGGCTGGCCGCCGTCGGTGGGAGCTAACGGCGAATACACCGCGCTAACGCATTAGAATTCGGTTCAATTCCTCAGGTCCTGTATGTTGATAGAGAATTGTATGTGTATGTACTGGCAGTTTAGATTAGTGAAAATAATGAAGGCACTAAAGCGTTGGAGCCGCATATGAGACAACAAAATCTGCTTTGATACTGAATGTTGTGTAAGCAAATATTGCATGTCAATTAGCATAAATTGTTTCCGATGCGGCTTCATATCTACTTTGTTAAACGACTTCGAAAAATGTTCTCAATTTAATCATTGTATATTTTTGTATCTCCGTCTTTTATGAACCGATTTAAAAAAATACATTTTTACTTTCGGTTCGGTTTACTCCGGACATTGGCGAGTGAAATATTTGAAGTCGTTTTGTTTTTGTTTTTTTAATAAAATGTCATTAGTATATCCACACTAATAGCGTGTCATAATTTTAGATATCCAAAACGCAACCAACTCTACCAACGAGTCAAAGGCGCCCTTGCTTCAGCCACTGTTCTGCTTAATCAATTTAGACAGACGGCCTTAGACTCAAAGCCAATCGACCTTAAAGGTCAAACAGCATATTTTATTTGTAAAAACGGCCCGTGCTAGCTTCCATCGATTGGACATTTTTTTGTGTGATCTCGACAGATTTCGATTCCTTATGCGGAGTTGTGCGAATATTAAAAAAAACACGTTTAATAATGTGTATGTCGTTCGATCCAAGTATTGGATACGTTACAAAGGTTGTTTATGATCAATTTTTCCTTAGCCGTAATACAATGTTTGTATTTATTAACACAGTTAGCATCTTAAACGTCTCTACAATTTGAATGAAATTTGTTGGATATAAGTAAAAAAATAAATACTTATTTCAGTAGTTTTTGAACTTAAGACCAATCAGTGCGATGTGTACTGCATTTCTTCAATATGATTGAATGTAATAAATTGTATTCTCCGTTTTGTTTTGTACTATCAATCAGTCTTGTAATGTCGTTTTTCTATTAAAGAAAAGAAAGCTGTCGTGCATGCGTTCCGTGGTATACACCTCATTTGTACTAAACTTTACTTTCGATTTATGTAAAAAAAAAAACGAAACGCGTCATAGTTAAAAATAATACTAACGTTAAAAACTTCGCTTTGTGAAAGTGAATCGTTTAAGAAATGTCGTGATCATTGTCAACTGCAAAATAAACAATTTGCACACCACTTTTGGCTTTAATTCCAATACTGTTAAGTTATTTTTTTATTCTATTTATTGTGTACTTTTTTAATTCAAGTTTGTTTCTAAGTAATATTATTGTGTTCAATTTTACTGTGATAATTTTCCTTCTTTGTTGAGTTTTGAATAATGAATTTCATAATTTCACAAATTAATCTTGGATTTGCAATCAAATTCTCTACAAGAGCGACGCCTTCTCTTGTAGAGAATTTGAGGTATATCCGATATAAATGTTTACATATAATGGGGCCACGCTGCGCAGACTTCAAACGTTGTTGATTTAGGTAAACTCTCCGATTTTAAACTATCCGCTTACTTGGGTTTTAGTTCTTTTTCTATATATCTAGTGAGAATCTTTTTATCTGACCTAATTAGCGGAAAACAAATCACAAGTTAATTTAATCATGAGGGAGGATTGCTTTGATGTATCAATAGGTATGCGGAATTCGCGTAAAAACAATAAATCACCACATAATTTATGCTTTATTTTCTTCGGAAACCAATTTAGTACAGGCACAGTGCCGATCAGAACACGAATGGTAGTTTTGGCCCAGTATATTTTCGGCCGTAATCGCAACTTCTTTTGGTATCAAAATACCATAAATCTAAATTTATTGACTCAATATATAGCGTTTGGCGCTATTCCACTTTGGGTACGTTTAAGTTGAAGAGGACTAGATTTCGCACCGGAAGATGTTGCCCTCGTCAGATCGAGTCAGGAAAGCCGTTCGCCGGTTTGTGAAAGCTCGGCAATGATGCCAGTCAGTTGTAAATAGCGCTTGGCAAACTTACGTAACGGTGGTAAAAGTTCCCAACAAACTCCATTGACAGACCTTCAGGCGACTGTGGAGAATTGCTATCTATTTTCTTTTATTTCGTCTTATTGAATCGATCGATTGCAAATTGAATTTAACAGATAAGAAAAAAATGTCTAAAGAAACGAATGGACGATTACTTTTCATATGCCAATAAAACATCCATTTTAGGAAATACTACTATTTTGCTTCCATGTCATAACCTATTAATTTAGATTCCATAATTCGAACAACGTTGATTGTTATCCTCATCGTGACTATGCTATATCTTAATAATAGCTCAATTACTAGTCTCGTAATTCATATGAGATTTATTTTCGCCAAATTGGGCTCCCAAACAAAACTGGTGAAGCGTATTTAGGCGATTTTTATAGTTAAAGTATGTACCTCTTTGACCCCACTCTATTAGAGTATATGATATGTGATATTTACTACTAGTTGTGGACTGCGACTTTGTTCGCATGGATCTCTAAACGGAATCGACATTTAACATATATACCCTGATGTTACCCTTTCATTGGAAATTTTATCAATAATACAGTACACACGTGCACCCTATCACCTCCCTGTTTTCTTAAATATTACTTAAACTACACGCTTGCTCTCTTCGACTTCGCCAATACTAATATATTGCAGTGGTTATGTTGGTTAAGGGGGTGTCATGTGGTCGGAAATAAAAAACAACTGCGTTTGTGACAAAATATATATAACATTGCATCGTCCGACACTTATTTTGAAATGATTGGGAGCACTATTGCATTTACGTGATTACTTGCCTGCTAGCTTGTTCATAAATTTACAACTCAATTGATAACTAATAAATTACAAAATGTCGGCACGTAAACGAATTTATATTGGAATTTGTTTTTTATAACTACGCCGTTATCTTTCTCATTGTTAATGACAATTACATTTATTTATCCCGTATAAATGGTACAAGGTATAATGTCGGTTTAACGTTTTAACGTGTTGCTTAAAGTACTTATTTAAATTTGGTCATTCTAACCGGACTTTTTATAATTAAGTCGCTCCATTTTTTTCGTGTATCGAGTATCTGCGGTGGTTACTCGCATTATTACTTATTTTTTGTGAAGATAATCAAATTTAATGCGCCAATAAATTTGCAAGTTGAACAATGCCGTACACGCCCACAATGTTACCATGGTTTATAGAAATGGATGTATATCTCTACTTCACGGGCAATAAATTATACATCTTTATCGGGTATTGTTCGTATCCAACGATTAGATACATGACAGATAGATTTCAAGAGAAAACTATACCTCACTCTATACTTGTAATCGGTTAATTTTATTGAAATCATCATCATAATTTCATCCTGATTGCGTCCACTGCTAAAAATAGGCCTCCCCCACAGACTGCAACGAAGGACGAATGCTCTGTCCTTTATAGGTTTATCATATATAATTTATAGTTAGGGGTCGTGGAAACTGTTGGGCCAGTACGAATCAACTTAATTTATCGCTTTGTCTTTATCGGGTTGTATAATTTAAAGGGAATGTCAACTGAATATTTTAATATTATCTTTGTATTATTATTTAAATACGTTATCATTCTGCTTTGTGATGCTATAAATAAATAAATAAAGGTATGTTTCTCAATTCAAAATAGAATTTTAAAATTTTCAACCTTTTCAAATTTGCGGAGGTAAATTCATTTTGATTTAAAATTCTCTTGAATAATATATTTTTCCAGATTGTAAAATCAAAAAGACTTATTGATAATATGTTATAATAATTCAGCGTTAACAGTGGAACCAACTTGGCATGATAATGCACAGTTGTGATATCCTAATTTTTCATTATCACGTTATCTACGCGCTGACATTTAAGTGCCGTCGTATTTAACAAAAATTCCGCGACTTTGGGATCTTACCTGTTCTACGAACACCTTGAACTAAATTGTAATAGGTTCTTCCATATCTAATGCGTCCTCATATGCTTTATACAAAATATTTGAACGAACGCATTATGAGATTAGTAAATTTTATAAATTAAATCGGTCTTGCTCTACTTATTTGAAGATTCGCCTATTATAATTGTCAATAAGGTAGACAATCTTGGATGCAATAAAATATTTTTCATCACGAAGAAGTTGAAGATAATTGTAAGATGAAAGTGGTTTCTCGTTTCTATAGTCTTAACATCGTAATAACAACTCGTTTTTAATGCTCTTTGTAAGATAAAAATATGCTTGATCTTTTGTTTTTCGACTATAAAAAAATCATTCTGTAAATCGTGCCAGTAGCGTTTTACATTTCATTGAACTGACAGTAAAAATTAATTCATTCTCATGAAACTGTGGGTTTCTTTTTTTAACTTTTAAATTTTTTCTTTGTAATTTAAATGATCATTAATGAGTTTACTATTGTTTTTGAAATTTTTCATTTTTTATTATATAAAATTAGACTCAAAACGTCCGATCAGAGGGCGCCCTAAGCAATCATTTTGTTCTAAACATTTTCGAGATTTCGAAACGCATTCATTGTATTTCTAAACTAAAAAGCGTAACCCGTAAACCCACTTTCAGAAAATAAGTGGTTAAGTGTGTCAGCCTTTAAAATTGAATATCGGAAATCGTCTATTAATGAAGTAATCACAAATTCCGGATAGAATATTGCAGCGCAGCATTCCTAAAAGGATCACAATTTGTATTAATCGTGTTGTGTCCGATTAAAAATCAACTGCACGATTTACGTCGCTGTTCAGCGTTGAGTAATAAGCCAGTCGGACTGTGCTTCGTTACGTACAAGCGGATTTCGATACAGCCTCGCCACGTAAGGCCGTGGTTGCAGTCACGTCGCCGACGGTGAGAGGTGCCCCTCCTCCGCTGGAAGGTCGCGAGCGCTTGTCAGAAGGCATTGGAACAAATCCTTGCGTTTTATACTGGCGTTTATAATAGAGTAAAGTAACAAGCCAATATTTCCTGCCGCTACACAAAGACCTCCTCTGTATCTGTACAGAGGAGGTCTTTGTCTAGCGCCTAATACCCTCTAATACCCTCTGGGGTATTAAAGCCACCACGCGACCCCACTGCGGATTAGCAGACTTTACTTTTCTTCGAATTTTTTATTTTTTATTTCGAATATATGCAGTTTATCTTGCCCGATGAGCACATGATCGTCATTTATGATTGCAATTAAAAGTGTCAGCCGGCACCGGGATTCGAACACGTGTCGCTAGAGTATATTAATTAAAATCGAGCGCCCGGCCACTGGGCGTACAGTCGCGTCTGCAGCAGCATTATTTTACCTTTGCCGTGACATGTTTCTTATGCCCTATAAGCGAGTACTTCGATTTCGCGAATGATCGGCGCGATTTCGTAATCGGCAAACGCTATCATCGGGAAGGTGGCGCGATAGGCGTAGCGCGCGACTCGCGTCGAACGACGGAGCTCTAATCGGAACGCGCGAATCAATTAACATAGTCATTTTGTAGTTCATTCACCGTTACAAGTATCGTGAGCGATGGAAAACTTGGCGCCCGCTACTATGATTCTAAAGCGTACGACGTGGCGACTGGACATATCACGAGGTTTTAACTCGACAAGTGCAAAACTATCGAGTTTACCGCAGGGTATATGCTTTTCCCCGCTAACTTTAACGTCTCACTACCCTCGTAAAAGGTAACGCAGCACAACCGGGTTGGTTCGTGGACTCCAATGCAGCGGTGGTAATCCATTAATGGGTCTGACAATGCGCTCTTCGAGCATACATTGGCGGGTAGCTGTTACCTCACCGTGCCGACGTCCGCGGCGATTGCGACAGGCCGCATCGTCCATTAGAAAGTCGCGCGGCGAATATGCAAATGGTCGTGGAAACCTCGCGGGGCTTATTTGCGCGCGATGAAAGTGCCCGACCACCGTACGCCGGCTAAATTGTGTTACGACGGTTTCTTTTGGCGTAGCGTCGTCGTCGAACGCCACTATAGTTCCGTTTCTCGATAGGTCCCGCTCAGCGCATCTATTTCGTTGGATGTCGACATTTGCTTAAAGTATCTATCGCATTATGCACGCAAAAAAGTCGGCTCTAACGGTACGCGTTTGAATTTTTGACATTTTTCTGTCATTGTCTCGTGAGGAGTTACCGCCTAATTGTTAATGGTGCAGCGTTATTGTACATGTGGACCAATCATTTGTCTCGTGATGCTATTAGCGAACTCATTAGTTTGAATCGGCGAGTTTAAAATAAAAATAAAATATCTGTTTAGCGTTTATTGGGTTCAAGGAAATTGGAACGAAACGAAACGCGTGACGTGCTCGTTTCACTTTCGTGCCCAATTCCGTGTACGCTTTGTATTCTTATTTATTTATTGACAAGACAAGGTAACACGGGACAAATCGCATACATTTCGTAAAAACTTTATCGTACGTATATATTGATACAAGATAAGCGGTAAGCAATTAACATTGGCGATCACAACTCGGCCGCGTGGAATTCCCGCTATGATTCTGAGTTGTAGTGAACTATTTATTATCGTCGACTGGCTGACGTGCGGCCGCCGTTTCAAATCCATTCTGAGCTCTATCGCGACGGCGCAGAGTCGAGATCGCATGGTGCGACCCGTTCCACCTCCACGGTATTACGTCAATGGAACACGGCACGTTAACCGAACGCTCCGTGTCCGGGTTTGTCGCGCCCGATCCGAAAGATTCGCGCCCCCAATCCGTCTTCGGCGGATTCCCGACGCGTATCTACCCCTTGTGCACGGCGGTATCCGTGTTAAATGCTACGTTTTATAAATGGGGAAATACGAAATGAGAAGTAAACGCTTTATATAATTAGCGGGCTATATCGGCGGCCGAGCGGAGCGGAGCGAACCGGTCGGCGGCGGCCTCTCACTTCGCAACTACGTATACCGTTGCGCCGACTCGCTTTGTAGGTGGAATTAGGTAACCGTCAGGCGGCTGTAGAAATCCTTCGCGGCCAAATGCCACGGAGGCGGCGGCGGGCGGATTGTTTCGATGTCGACACGCGACACATTACGCGGAACTACTATGCAATGTTCATCGGCGGGAGGCGAATTTCTGAGAAAAGAGGAAACTGAAAATGATCGCCTTCGTTGTGCGGACGTAATGAGCGAGTAAACACGCGTCATACGCTGAGCGACGGCAGCGACAAACAACGAAACCGTACTACGACCTTGACGCGCTATTATGGTGGCTGTCGCAATTGCAGTAAACAAACAGGCCTATGCCTAATTACGAGCGGGTTATCATATTAAGGATGGTCCTGGAAGAGAAGGCCACCGAAAAGACAATGGGTCGCGGGCAGGGGCGGCATCAGCGGACGAATCTATCGGGCTCGGGCGGCTGTTCGCCGAGTGCCGAAGTGTTCCGCCGCGACGCGCTCTTTATACCCGACGGTCGGCGCGGCGGAGAAAGCCGCCCCCCCCCCCCCCCCGCGCGCCGCCTGCCGCCCCCCTCGCCCGCCGAGCGGCCGGGTTTTTTCCTCATCACTTCCATAATCGCGCACGGCGCATACGTATATCACCTTGAGTTCATCAGTCGCGATACGGGTCCGCTGAAGCGTCACGGCTCCGTATCGATTTCGTTTGTAGTCTGCGGGCTACGTGTGACGAGATTTTCTTTTGTTTCTTTTTTTTTTACACGATGACGGTGCATGGCTTGCCATGCGATTAGCACAGTCTTAGGCACTCGTGTATGATCGACTGCTGCTGGATTATCAATGTAAACGCACGCCTTTATCATTGACCCTTCGAACGCCTTTATCACCATTGAACAGAGTGCATATTTGCACTTACTCGACCAATGGAAGTAGCTCGACGCGCAAAAACCCCACGGAGGTACATTTAATTAATATGGCGGCGTACATTTGCATCGCCTCAAGCGAGCTGTGGGAGCGGACTCGTTGTTCCGACGCCGTGCGTGTAGCGAGACACTTTTTTAATAGGCTAATTGGCCGGCATTGCGGCGTTGGCACACGGCGGCAGCCGCGACCTTAGATGCTCGGGGCTGTGCATTGGGCGACACGCAAGTAACAGCCTATACATGTCCTACTGCTGAGCAAAGGCCTCCTCTGTACAGAGGGTATTAGGTCATTCTCCACCCCGACCACACTGCGGATTGACAAACTTCACGTGACTTGGAAATATTTGTGTGAACATTTCTAAAAACGCCCGTTTCCTCACGATGCTTTCCTTCACCTCTCGATTATCATGTGAATAAGAGAGCTGCCAATTCGTGTCCCCTTTTAGTTACCTTTTAAGACAGGTAGGGGATACCTTAGCCCTATTCTTTTTTTTTTAATGGAGAAATGGGGCAAACGAGCAGGAGGCTCACCTGATGGTAAGTGATTACCGCCGCCCATGAACACCTGCAATACCCGAGGGCTTACAAATGCGTTGCCGGCCTTTTAGAAAAGAGTATGCTCTCTTCCCTCCCCAGGGAAGGTACCTAGGTCGTAACGGTTCGGAAAGATCGCCGGCGGCAGCTGGTTCCACAGAGTGGTTGTGCGAGGCAGGAAATGCCTTGAAAATCGCGCTGTTGTGGAACGCTGGACATCGAGGTGGTATGGATGAAATTTTTGGTTCTGGCGCGATGTCCGATGGTGGAATTCAGCCGCCGGGATCAATCCAAACAATTCCTCGGAAAACTATATAAGCCCGAGACTACAGGGCTGACACTCGGGTCTCTAGATGTCGTGTTGGTTGCGCCTAATTATTCCCCGTTCGGCGTAGCGGCACTGTGGACTTTCCGCGCGCGTCATTCTGTCACCTCCTTGTGGGTGGTGAAACGGTACGCTGCGCACGCGGCCGACTCGCCACGGCGCTGCCATTCCGAGCGATGAAAGTGGCCACTGAAGACTAGTGCTAATATCAAATCTAACGCTCGCCGACCGCGGGGTTGTAAAGCGCGCAAGCAGGACGCCACGTCCTGTTGCGCTCTCTGTCGCACTCAGTACCGTCTTTACCATACGGGCACACAGGGCCCCTGTCGTCACGGGGCCTCCGCATAGCATTATCTTAAACTATACAATTTTTTTCACTATTTTTGGTACCTAGATACATTCGATAGAAGTTTATGGAATAAATAAAAAAATATAAGATAATCGCAGAATAGTATATTTTATTACTAGTGCGGAAAGCCTGTCATTGCAAAGAGTTCCGACAAGTATCTACGCGAGCCGAGGCTCAGCCGAAGGTGAGGGTTGATAGTCGGAACAAGTTGCAATGACGGTTCCGCACGTGTACTGAACAACTATTTTTAATACAGTTGCCAAAAAATTAAGCAATGTAAAACTCAACTATCTAATCATTTATTTCTTATAAAAGTTATAATTCATATATACATTGGAATTGGTACTTGTTTTTTATACTAACAGGGGAAGTTTTAGAGTTTTAGGTTGCATATTTACTGTTTGAGACAAACTATTATTAATTCCGTATGATTGTTTATGTATATTTATCAAAGGTGTTATCACAATACAAAGAAATTTTTTGGAAAATGGCGCCAACCGTAAAAGAATATAAGCTGAGATTTTTTTTTTTTGTTTTCTTCACCCATTCTGAATAGGCAAAGGGAACTATATAGTGCCCATACAGCCAAGTCTTCAGTAGATTTTTTTATTGATATGAAGAAAATGAAATTTACTGAGATGAAATGAAATGAAACCTAACCTAACTCATTGAATCAAATCATTAAATATGATATTGAAACAAATTAGTAGCTTCTATTTTGAAATATTTGCATGAATCATAAAAACTTCGTGGTTGTTTTTTTCTTTTTAATAGACATTATTTTGAGAGTTGGGAAAGAGAACGCACAAGTTCGGAAAACGTTAAGGAGTGTGTAATAGCCCACATCCCGAACGCTATACGTCCGTCCCTGCGATATGCCACTTTTTGAGCAACTGTATTAAAAAATGTTTTGGTCATTCATTTCTTTTACTTTTCATTAAGGCCGCTTATTTTTGTGTGCCCTAGGGCCCCGATATAGCCTAAGACGGCATTTGGTCGCACTGGTGTGTCTTACGGGGAGGCCGGAATGTACGACATATACAATACCTATAATAATATCAATATAAATATAAAATAGTATCTTCTAATCCCGACCAAACTTAACTATCCTAGCGAATATTTAACAAGCAACTCCACTGAACATTTTCGTATTTTTGTAAATTCAGTGATATGATTCGACATTGTCATAACAAGAGTACAATGTTTGTTATTATACATATAACTCGTATCAGAAGAATATTTTCCATTGTTGTTAATATTAATCTCCCGATAATGAATGTCACACGTTACTTTGTATTTGGGGCTATATTTAAATCGCGTTTACTCCGTGCTCAGAGAAGTCAGTTAGCTACCGTTAACTTCATTTAATTGTTAAGTGGGAATGTTATTAATGAATATTTAATGCATTTACAATGACAGGGCCATGTAGCAGGTTATTCTGTACTCAGCATAGAAGCCCTTAGTAAAGTGGAAGTATTATATTATATAATTCTACTACGGCCTAGGGAATAAGGCCTGCGTGAAATTGAAGTACAACACTTTTTTTATGTTTCTTTTCTATTGTGGTAACCGGAGCCCTCTCTTTGTAAAGGTAGGTTAAACGCATCTGCAACCCCACAGGTGTAGGGATGTCCATGGAAGGCGATAATAGCTGAACTTCGGGCGAACCACCTGCCAGCTTGTCACCATTTAAAAAAAAAAGGTGGAACTTTGCAAACGATTTTATGTTAGTACGTCGCAATTTTTTTATGTAAGAAAATGGCAAGCGAGCTGGCGGTTCGCCTGATGTTAAGTAACCAATGGATATTTATTACACCCGTAGAATTATGAATGCGTACCTTTCAATAAAGTGGGTCCAGGATACCTCCCTCCCTCATCAGACGAAATGCAGAACACTTCCAATTCACGCCGGCCTTCTGTGAGATCGTGGTACTTACCCGGACGGACTCTCCCTTTGCCCCTTCGTGTAATTAATGCCCGATTAGCAATCGTAAATTATCTAAATGCGATTTGTTAATTATATGTTTTCTCTTTGATTTCAGAAAATATCGATCCCGGCCGCCACCAATGGACCTTCGTGCGAGGCCACCTTTCATTTTAGCATCAACAGTAATGCTGAAATGGAGGGCCCACAGGTATGCTGTTTGTTGATTAATAGATCGATTGTTTACAGTATGCGTTTTGGTTGCGACACGGCGCACATGACTGTTAAGCCATAGTTTAAAGTTTTCACTTGCAGTGCATTCTATTCGTCTGTATGTGATACTAGCTGTTAACCGTGGCCTTGCCCGCGTAGTCAGAGGGAATTAACAATGAGTTTTTTTATTATACACCAGGATATCTCACAGATGGCTGAATTTTTTCCTACTTAGTTGACACTTAGGATCCTACATATATTTTGGACAAATCACACAATATCTTTATAAATTATAGCCTTTGTGTTATTGTGATGTATGAGCTATATTATTGTAAAGTTTCATTAAAATCTGTTCAGTAGTTTTTGCGTGAAAGAGTAACAAACATCCATCCATGCATACAGACTTTCACGTTTATAATATTAGTACAGATTAGTAAGGATTATAATATTAGTAAGTATTACTTTTCTTGAAACTTGAAATAGTTGTAAATGTTAAAAATTAAAAATCCACATTAAATGTAAACAAGTTCGTGACGGTGTCACACTAGACTATTTACGGAAGACTGTTTTGTGTGACCTTATCGTGTAATATATTTTTTATAATAGTTATTTAATTCAGAAAAAAAAACACCAGTGACTACCTATAACATCGAACGGCACGGTAAGTTAAACAAAAAAACTCATATTGTAAACATGGTTTGGATAAAATCTCGATACAAAATGACGTCTCCAATGTCGTAATATTTGCTTACATGTATAATATTATGTTCTTGATTGTATTTTTATTTCGCTCCAGTGGAATTATTGACACAGGTGCTAAAACAAATGTTGTTAATTATTATTTTGTTTCGTGTTACATAAAATCTTCTGTATCGCCCCATTTTGTGGCGGCTTGTTGTCAAGTCATTGTTTTTCAAAGGAATATAATATTCAAGTACGCTACTTTTGTGTTATCTGTGCAAGTAGAATTTGCCAGATAAGATTTGTTATTGAAAGAATATGATAATTATACATTTATATTTTTTATAAATATTAACTACTCGCGTCTTATGGTAACATCTTTATATATATGAACACTTAATGAATAATTAATCAACATGTTATAGTGTTAGGAGACTGATGAACAACCCGGCCACGTAAATCTTATGCTTTATTTGATTACGTAGTTGTTTGTATTTTTTGAGACCGATCGAGATGTATGGATAACATAATAATCCTTTTAAAACAATGTTTATGTCTTAACCGGTGATTAAATCACAATCCATACGTGAGGCGTAAATGGGCTGTTGCTTTACGACAGGGGTTGTCAACCTCAAATAGCTTGCCCTTTTCAGTAGACACAAGCTATTTGAGGTTATTAACCCCTCTCGTAAAGCTTATGTATATAGACCGTTGCTTAATGACAGGGGTTGTCAACCGGTAATATAGTATATTGAGGCGTATATTGGCCGCTGCTTAACGCCAGTTTGTCGACCCATAATAGCTCGGTTTGCATTGAAGTTTATATGGGTCGCTGCTTTACGAATGGTTCGTGTCCCTGACGTTTAATAGACGCCCTGAGCTATTTTGGATTTAGAACCTCAATCGTTGCTACGCCAGGCTTTCTCGATCCGCAATGTCTTGCCTACCTAGTTACCCTTACAAAGGGGAACTAGGTAGCGGCAGGTGTTCTCAACTCAAACGCGCTCCCTTCGCCTTTTCAGGGTTCGTTCGAGTGCGTGCGCAGCGGGGGCGCGCGTAGGCTCGAGTCGTGCGGGCCGCTGCCTCGTCGGATGCGCGTCCAGGCCAACGACGACTCCTACGAGGCGACCAAGCACCGCATGGCGCGCACCGTCGCCGCCGAGCAGAGCAAATGGTCCGTGTGCCAGTGACGATAGCCCCTCCCAACCTATATAAAACAATCATAGTCAACGCATCCCTCTTCTTGCTAACTCCGCGACCCTCGCAGATATTGTTTTACAGCGAATATCAATGTATAAGCGGAATAGCGCTCGCTTTTCCACAAATTCATGCATGCCTCTAACGTTCACAGCACCCGCGTGATAAAACCCAACCAGACGGACATCGGGCGCCGGGTCAAAATGCGCCTCTCGCACCCCACGTACTCGAATATGTCCGCGGCGGCGCAGATAGCGGAGAGGGCGGAGCGGGCCGAGAAGGAGCGGCTGGAGCGCGCCGAGCGGGATCGAGCCGAGCGAGCGGAGAGGGAGCGGGTTGAGCGAGCCGAGAGGGAGCGGGTAGAGCGAGCGGAGAGGGAGCGAGTGGAGCGGGCTGAAAGGGAGCGCGCCGAGCGAGCGGAAAGGGAGCGCGTGGAGAGAGCGGAGAGGGAACGTGTGGAGAGAGCAGAAAGAGAGAGAATAGAGCGCGCGGAACGGGAGCGGGTGGAGCGACCCGACAGGCCCGAGCGGCCGGAGAGGGCGGTGCCGCGGGGCGCCCCTCCGCCTCACCAGCGTCCGCCGCCCGCCGCGGACGTATCGCGCCGCTCCATCAAGTGAGTACTGTCGAGTGCAACTATCTAATCGGTATAAAAATAAAACCTCTGTGGTACGTAACTGTACACCGTCGTGTCGTGTACAATTGAGTACACGACACAGTAGACAAATGCGCCCGAGTGAAGTTGTCTGCCAGTTTATTTATATAGGTGACTGCAACAATCTAGTTACCGCTTATTAATACTCGAATAGTAACGCTCTAGGCGACTGTACATCGCCTAGTCGGAGCAAGACAGAAAACGCAATTGATCGTGGCGCGAAAGAGAGGAATAACTTCCCTACGTTGATGTGCACTATACGTTTAGACGTAAATTGTTTAAGATCCTCTTTCTTTGGTCTAACTACCGGGAATTAAAAACTAAAAGGCTTGCCATAGAGTATTATCCCCTAAGCTTCTTCCGAACGTCGTGACGTCATATCTTAAACCAGACTGTCCGTGGAAACCGATTATTACACGCAACCTAATTATTATAGTCATCGAATTGTATGTCACAAGTCTTTGTATCTGTTCCATGACTGGAAACAATGAGAAATAGAGGTTAAAAGGGTCTCGTTTTTGGCACTCTCCTTGCCCCGGAAATTAAAGTAGAACAATATTTTAATCGGAACAATTGAGTCAATTTAAACCTCTACTGTAACTATTTCATATTTAAGGACAAGTCGAAAACAAAAAAAACCTGACCGATATAAAAACACGCACAATTTGCGCCAAAAGTCAGCCATTTTAATTTTTTACATATTTTATCATAGGATTATTATTGGCGCGATTGACACTCACATCGTAAAAATTATTTATAATTTAACGAAATATTATTCAATGATTAAGTCATTAGTTACGTCGGAACGTAGGGAGAGACATACAAACATACATGTCTATCACATAACGCTCCGTCCTTGGAGTTCGCCGCAGGCGCCTGATTCGAAAATATATCGTCTTTCCATTTTATTACATGCAAAGTATTATTGTAAAGGAAGGTTGCTTAGGTTGAATAAATTTCCTAGTTTTCACGTGAAACAGTTTAACTTGTATGTCTGTTCTATGAAGCCAAGGCGACGCCATAACTTCTCGTATGTTGGTAAAACTGATTATTACAAATGTTCGATTGGGCTTCATATTACGAAACTGTATTGCATCGATTCGTTTTCGGTCCAGAAAATACGATATGAGTCACCAGATGCAAACTGCACAACGTGACGAAATTTTTGTGAACTACCCATTGAATGACTAGCTAGCTAATAACTACTGCAGCATTTCATAACATCAATTGGCCCTTTGTAAACTTTTCACACAGCAAATGTCACGAAACGCGGTCGGTGCCCAGGAAGTTTGGTTTACTATGCGGCGATAGCGGTAGATATCTTGTCGTCGTGCGATAAAAACGCACGTTTCGGAACAATTAGCGCGTACGGGGTTATTCGTATTTGAAAATTTAAAATTTTAAAAAAATAATCAGTGTCCATCAGTGTGTACATGGCCATCGTTTTATAAATAAAAATATTTGAGTGACAATAAAACAGACTTCAAATATCTCACTCGCTATACATTTTCTATTTGTGTTTTTGACTTCTCTTGAGACCAAGGTCCAACATGAGACATTAATATCGGACCACATGGTAGCCAAATCCAACCCAATGCAAAAAGTATTTTTAAAATCTGTTCATAAATCTGAGTTCAGAGGTGGTAACGAACATACAAAAGCATACAAGATAATTGAGATTCTCTTTTTTTGAAGTCGGCCGATAAGCCTTATCCTAGATTTCCTGATAGAATGCCATAAAAAAAAATTAAAATTGGGTATTCTTCTCCATTAAAAAGCCGTAGATTAATTGCGAAATCTCATATTCAATCTGGACATTGACCAGCGCAATCAGCTGATCGCGGCTCGATGTGAACATTTCAGATGTTGATGAAAACTTTGACTGCTCCGTCGCCAATTAAACGTCCGATTGTAGTTTCGCGTTTGACCACGGAAGCGTGGAGGTCGCGCGCTTAGAACACGCCAAGGCAACTTCCGGAAGTGGCTTTCGCGTTCGGAGCGAACGCCATCTTGGTATTTTTAACGACTCCGTATTTATCTCTGTATTTTCCCGTTTAGAGCTGTCGATTTTTTTTTTGTTTCGATTTTAATTTCTTATTAAACGGTGCCAACGCATCTGAAACCCTACGGGTGTTGCAAATGTCCATGAGCGGCGGTTATCACTTAACATCAGGTGAACCTGCTACCTTTGCCACCTTCTCACATAAAAAGGCACAGGTGCATAATTTTATCTAGTCAGAATCTAATCGTGGTACTGTTTATTATTGTTACACAGGCACCTACCTAAACATGATTTTATTTTGTAGATATACAAACGCATAGGCAGTGTAGGAACAGTATATTGATCACACAATCAAAATCCGGACATACGTCGATTTCAATCAGTTGTTTCTTCAGCCGGGTTACACCTTCTTCAAGGTGATGCGGATGTCTGCATCATCTAAAACACAAATAATCAGTTATTTATAGACGTTGGTAGTCACTCCACACTGGTGGATCCTATGGAAATGGAAAATTTATTTTTACCCGAACGCGGCGACTCCAAAACAGAGGGATATGTATTCGACTTTTTTATATTTATGTCCACATCCATGTTGTAAAGTAACAAGTAGACGCCTGTACAGATTTTAATGAATGATAATATGCCGTTAAATTCATCTTTACTGCGTGATTGTTAATAAGCACACGTCAACATCAGAAATAAACAATAAGCTATTAAATTATAAAAAATCATAACAACGCCCTTTTGCTGTATAAATTGTTGTTTTTACGCTGCAGTAAACTTTTTTCATTTATTTTTTTATTGATTTGTCATTAAATAGGCTATATTTTCGGTAGAGATTCAAACCGACTAGACCGTTCCGATTAAAAATAACGATCTCTTGCAATTAACGGGCAAAGGAGAACAGCAGAAACGAACCAGGACCTTTGCGTCTCATTCTGCGCACACACAGAAAAAATACCGAGACTTGTGAGACGAAAGAGAAAGGCGTCAAACAAACAAACACCAGCTGCGTTTGTTCGACAACTGTCTGTTTTTTTTTTTTAAATCGACCACTGTTTGGAATCTCACGCTTACCTAACTCGTAATCTAACCCGAACCAATGTCTCCTTTCCACAGCGAAAGACTTATACAACTGCTAGCGCTGAAGCCCTTCAAGAAGCCCGAGCTGTACACCAGACTCAACAGCGGTAAGTGGCCGGCCCTATGTGACCCCCCCCCCCTTCCCCCCTGCCACTAACGGCTAAACCTCACCCCCTCCGCGGGCTCGTTGCAGAGGGCATCAAGGAGAAGGACCGCGCCGAGGTGAACAAGATACTGCCGAAGATCGGCTCCCTGAAGGACAACTGCTACCACCTGCGCCGGCACATATGGAACGACGTCAACGAGGACTGGCCGTTCTACACCGAGGAGGAGAAGCGGATGCTCAAAAGGTTGGCGGCATATTCCTTTTTCAAATCCTCGGGGCTTGCGGTTGTCTTTTTTTTTTTTTTTTTTCTCTGGACCGTCGTCGCCTCGGTGTGAACTTTTGATCGGTCAATGATGATTCGACTGCATGGAGAAATCCCAAGGCGTGAAACTATAATACCAATAAAAAATACTGGTCATGTGATTCTGTGCGATGGTCATTGCGTACTGGCCTTTCTGGTTTTTTTAATGATGATTAAAAAGAATAGTATATACATAATGCAATACTTCATATTTTTTTCCTCTTATTTAAAAATTAAAATTTTGATTGGAAACTATGCCATTCGTGTTTGAAGCGTCGAGAATTTAAAAAAAACTGGTTAAGATAGTTTTTACTTGACCGCCTTTTTGTGCCGGTTATTTGACATGTATTTACCTTAATACAATAAGATTTGAATTTGCCCGAATTGTATTTTCGTCGTATCGTTCGTTTAACTCGCATTTATTAAATTTAGTTTTACGTCAGTTTGGAAAAATAAGTTCGGCATACATTGTTGAGATCACACGCGTAGTAACCGACTTTTGACTTGTTGTTTATCAATATTTTATAAACAATGTCAATAGGTCAAGTTTCACCTTATACAATAGTCTTATTTGTAGCTTAATTAATCGCAACCTTCATTTATGCTTAGAGGACGAGAGCACATAGAGACGAAATCCGTTCACACTAGTAATTCCGCTGGTCTTTCGCATCGTGACGTGTTTTGCGAACGTTGTTTTCGTTTGTTTGTTTAAATATATCCATTAATATGTGTGCCGGTTACATTATACGAGTAGATAGTTTAATGAGTAGACGATAGATTGAGTTTTATGGCAGTTTTTAAGATCATCTTTTAAACAGTTACCTTTTAGTAAATAATAACGCCTGTTTTGATTTGCTTGTGCGACTTGCATACGGCCGATTGAATTTTGCGATTATTTTTAATTTTTAAACGCTACACGAGTACGTAATGACATAATGAAGCAATATGCATATGAAAAGATAACTGTTCATCGATAAGAAATTTATATTCTGTGCACCTTTTGACACAATGACACGGAAGGGCAAGGAAACTAGCATTACCACATTGCATTACCTACGGAAAGTGAGTTACTAGCGTTCCTTTACTCTACAAGTCGTTATGAAAATTACGAAGCTATGTAATTAACGGGCCTTCGTTGAGTATAGGAACAGGGCAATAGTCACTGTGGACGATAAAATCAAGAAATCAAATTCAAAAATATATTTATTCAAATTGACGCTTGCGCGCTCTTATAAATCGTCAAATATTATATATGTACCTATATACAATGTATATAGGTTCGTAAGGTACCACCGGTTCGGAAAGCAGTTTCTGTTGAGAAGAGATCGACAAGAAACTCAACAGATGCTCTTTTTCAAAAGTATTAGTTTACAATATAACATACAGGTATAATAGTCTTATTCTAGCCTACGCGAGTATCAACAGTATTAACTCCACACATTGGCGTCGAGATATTCAGTAATGGTACAATATGCTTTAACCATAAGTTGACTTCTAATTTTACGTTTAAATGGGTCGAGCGGCGGACTTAATATCGACTGTGGAATTTTATTATACACACATGCATATGAATTTTATGGTAAGTATGTAACGGACCGTACCCTCCGCAGGCGGAAACCTCAGAACCTGACGCCGCCGCTGAGCAGCGACTCGGCGAACTCTCTGTCGCCGCGCGCCTCGCCCGGCGGCGGGGGAGGGGGCGGCGGCGGCAAGAGGGCGCCCCCCGGCGGCGAGGACGCGCCCGCCGCGAAGAAAAAGCGCATCTCCCACTACCGCCGCCCCTCGCCACCCTCCTCCGGCTACGCGACCACCTCGTCGGGCGAGCGGCACGCGTCCGACAACGAGGACGAGCGGACCAACGGTGCGTCACCCGCCCGACACCCGCCCGACACCCGCCCGACACCCGCCCCTCACCCGCCCGACACCCGCCCGACAAACACCCGCTCGCACCCGTCACCCGGCCGCACCCCATCACTCACCACACGTCTTGCGGCCCGCTTAACCCTTTGCTTGAGAATATGACAGCACTTTGATATAGCATAGTTTTCTTTAGTTTTATTCATTAAAGCCAATTTTGGTTGTTGCACAACTCTTTAACGCGTCAATGTTGAAGTAGCAAACGTTCTGAATGTCGCTTTGAAAGGACTGATGGAAAAAGGAAACGAGTTTAGATAGTAATACTAAAATTTGAATACCCCAGAATTCATATGAACAGGTAGCTTGGGTCGTTTTTTCGTTTTTGTTAGGTCGGTTCGTTTTTGTTCAGATGATTATGCGGGATACCGTTCAGATTGTCTGCCTTTCACAACTTAAATATTACATGGGTTGCTAACCAATCATTCTCTTATTATACTACTTATTGTCACAATCAGATTAAGAAACACAAACTTAATTGCCACAAATGTAAGTTTGTCATTGTTACACTAACAACATAACTAGATAAAAAATTAACTCTAAAGAAAGAAACAAAGAAAACCTAACTTCTATATGAATATCACATATAATAGAACTTTCTACAACATTCCACAGGAAATAAGGGTTTATTATAAACATAAATAGAACTAATTCTTCACTTCAACCTCATATCTACTTTTTGAATACAGAACTTTGGCAATGGTGGAATGAAGTGGTGGAATTTAACAATAGTGTTCCTAATTGGTGTCATTTATCATTTTATTTAATTTAGTAAGTACTTAGCCATTTCTGCACTGTTCCCACCATCACCATTCACCATTCCCACATCCATGTTCCAAGTTTGACAATTTTATTTATTTATTTGTTTTTATTTTGCAGTTAAAAAAGATAACGGCTATACGCTCAACTTCAACACTGTCAAGGATCTCTGCCCCAGTCCTGTAAAAGCTAACGGTTTTAGAAGTAGTCCGCCCGTAGAGCAAACCATTGTCACAGGTATTTTAACTCGGCACCAAATGCACATTTATCAAATGTACCATTATGGTTGACCACATCCAACGGATATTAAAATGTTCATTGTTTTCGTTTTCAGAAAAAGACATCACAAATACCGAACAAATAGAAAACACAGATCTAACGTCTGTACCTGATGAGAACATGACTGACTTGGTAGATATTGAGAGGTAAATTATTGTAAAATATTTTGCCACTGTGAAATATGCCTGTTAGTTCTTTGACTTATCAGTAGTTAATAAATTTTATATATCCGAGATAGGTGATTACTGTTACAATTTACAATATTACAAATTACAATTACAATCAGGTACAATGATTACTGAAGAACTGAATTATAGTGCAGTGTCCTGACATCTTTTAATACACTCGAGCCAGCTGAGTTCAAATCTCGGTTTCGGCAAAAATTAAATAGTTAATTGCAAAATGAAACACGTATTCATCATGTGCTCAGCGGTAAAGAAAGTATACATATTTTTGAGACAATAACAATAGAAAATATATCTCTAAGATATGTTAAGTCTACCGATCCAAGTTGGGGACACATGGTGGCACATTGCCTTGTGTACAGAAGAGTCCTTGGCCCAGCAGTGAGATGGATATTGAATTATGTTAATTAGTTTGCAAAGCTCAGCCTTAAAGACTTTGAGATTCCATTTCGGTACTTAAGATCTCTGACTGCGACTGAAAAGCTGCATTGCCGTAATAATTTTTATGCTGCCCTTGCCTATTATTTTCAAGGCAACTATAGGTTTATAACATTTCCTTATCAGATAGTTAAATACAAAAATAAGCAATTCTGTTATCAAACAATAGGTGTTTATTTGTACAGGAACAAGAGAGGAACCTATAAATATTTATAACATATTAATTATTTGTTAATAACAATTAAAGAGACAGAATATTAACACTTATTGTTAAGTAGTCATGGGCTTAGTTTAAAAACAAAATTAAACTATTAAAGTATTTTACTATTAAAATAAAAATGTCCTTGGACTTATATATATATATATTTGATATGTTACTTCAATCGCGCCAAAACAAGTTTCACTTCAAATTACATATCACAATTTGATATTTGAGCCGTTATTCTACTAGTATTAATCACAATGCATGTATGTATTGATATGAATAATTCTTTTGTTTATTTATGTTTGGATGGAGTTTTGTTGAGGATATGCATGTTGATGTTAATTCACGAATTTACTTTTAAAATATTGGAAATATAAAGCTTTTATGTGGAGAATGAAATGAAATTTTATAATCCTAATTATTATTAATTGCATCTTAATAGTGACCATTAAAGGAATCCAATTTATTAATCAAATTAACTGCAACATCAAAGACACGTGGATTAATTATAATTATTATCGACCTTAAAAAAGTCAATAATAATTATTAGGTTCTTGGCCAGGAAGACTCTTTCAAAGCAATAAATGTCGCAAAATCTATTTTAGATGGTAGATTCATTCAAGTGGTCTTTGCCCAAAGACACAGCGTTCTGTTTCGTAGGTTCGATTCCCACATGATGGAAAAACGTAGTTTAGTAGCGATAGAAAAAAAATTATCCATTTGGACCTTAAAGTAACAACATAAACTGAGCAAAGGCCTCCTCTGTATAAAGGGTATGACAGCTGGGGACTATCCACTGCGCGGCCCCACTGCAGATTGGTGGACTTCACATATCTTCGAAATATATTATTTAGAAAATACGCAGGTTTCCTCACGATGTTCCAACAATACTACACGATTTTAGTAAGGATAGAAAAAAAAGATCAGTGCGTTCACGCGCCATCGCTGTTCCAACGATACTACGCGATTTTAGTAAGGATAGAAAAAAAAAGATCTGAGCGTTCCCGCGCCACCGCTGTTCCAACGATACTACACGATTTTAGTAAGGATGGAAAAAAAGATGTGTGCGTTCATGCGTCATCGCTGTTCCAACGATACTACACGATTTTAGTAAGGATAAAAAAATAAAGATGTGTGCGTTCACGCGCCACCGCTGTTCCAATAAAACCGCACGGTTTTAGTAGGGATAGAAAAAAATCACCCGCCAAATTTGTTCGTGCGCAGGCAGTACCCGGCGATCGCGAGCTCGAGCGTGCGGCGCGCCTACAAGCAGGAGTTCACGGAGCTGTACACCGAGTACCGGGACCTGTACGGGCGCGTCGCCCAGGTGGCCGCGCTCTTCACGCAGCTCGAGCAGCAGCTGCGCCGAGCCGAGCCCACCTCGCCGCAGCGCCGGGTCGGTGGCCGCCAGCTACGTCACGCCTTGCTATATGCCACGCCCGTTCCTTACGTCACACCTTGCAACGTCCCACTCCTTTCCAAACGTCACGCCTTGCAATAACCCACTTCTTTTCATACGTCACGCCTTGCAACATCCCACTCCTTTCCAAACACCACGCCTTGCAACATCCCACTCCTTTCCAAACGCCACACCTTGCAACATTCCACTTCTTTTCATACGTCACGCCTTGCAATATCCCACTTCTTTTCATACGTCACGCCTTGCAATATCCCACTCCTTTTCATACGTCACGCCTTGCAATATCACACTCCTTTACTTACATCAAGCCTTGCAATAACCCACTTCTTTTCATACGTCACGCCTTGCAATATCACACTCCTTTACTTACATCAAGCCTTGCAATAACCCAATCCTTTTCATACGTTATGCATTGTAATATACCAAGCCTTCCCATACGTCACACCTTGCCAATATATCTCACCAATTTACATGTCATAATTTTAAGTATATCATGTCTTTCCATACGTCACACATATCCTCCTACGTAAACTTTGCCAAAGCTACATGGGCCTCGGTTATCAATTGCCATCTTTATCCATAAAAAACTTCGTTAGAACTATTGTCCGTGATTTTATTACTGTTATTCTCATTCATTGAACATCTAACATTTATTAAAGTGGAAACAAACAACAAAGTCTCAATGGTGAACACAGACATAGCAAATAATTTAAAAAAAAAAAAAAAAACATCTGATCTGCTGGTCTCGTCTCGTGGAAGAGTGAAAGTGCCCTAATAGAAAGGTACAGTTCCGCATAGCAGTATTGTAACTTTCTATTATGAACTCATCATGGGACATCATCATGGAACAACTATTTGTATGACCTACAGATAATTGTTTCGGATATGGGTGTTTGCTCACATTATATTTATGTATGTAAAACGTCATCGCAACGCAGGGCAATGTTATCCTACAGTAAGAGGGATGATATGTTTTTTTAAGAAAAAACTAATGGTACGTTATCTTTTCGCCCAGACGATAGAGCAACGCATCGTGGAGGAGTATCAGCGCGTTCGCAACAACACCGCCTACCAACGCGAGAGGCGGCGTGTCAACTATCTCCACCGGAAACTGAACCACATCAAGCGGATGGTGCACCAATACGACCAGCTGGTGAGTGTAGCACATTGACACATTCTACCTATACACATGAACATTCATAAAAAAGTATAATATGCTCAAGTACTGGTAAGTTTGCTTAAGTTCGTTTGTAAGTTGCAGCGCTAAAATATAAGATGTCGTCCAAACCCCGAACTATTAAAATATGCAGCGCTAGATCGCTTGTAGAGTATAGATTTATTGCGACCAAAACGTAAGCGCCATGGATTCCACGGCGCTTATGCGTTTTCTTTATCACCTGCAGTTGAACAAAATGAGGGTGCGGACCGCGCGATCTAGTGTTTAGTATATATTTCGGTTTATCTTCGATCCCTTCTAATGTCAGTCAGTACCACCATCTGCAATCTTGCTTCCCATTGTGGCTTTGCGCTTAGCAAATTGAAATAAAGTCTATGTTAAACCGGCTGTATTTACATCAATCCATCTTCAATTTGCTTATGTTTTATGTGAAGATTATATATATATTGCTATTTCCATTTTCCAATCATTAAATTGTCATTTTTAAATATGAATAAACATTCAATGCATTTTATTCTTGTGGATTTTGTATTTTAACTTTTTGATGTATTGAACAGTTTACCATAGTAGTTTGGTGTGCTTCAGTTTCATTTGGATCTCAATAGCCAATAAACATCTTCAATATTGAACTTGGATTTGTTTACTTAAATTTCTTTAAGAAAAAATATTTAAAACTTGAGGTTTATAATAAAATCATAATAAGTTATAGCTATCTATAACCTTCGTCCGTACGAGTTATTATACTATATTTTAAAGACAATATACATTTTAATGCTTCTGTCTTATATTACATTAAAAAAACTATCTTTCTGCTTAAAAATACATACATAATATTAAATTGGAGCCATAAGATACTAAGATGCCTATGTTCAAACTGGCCAAATAAGAAAATCTATTTCATCATTTTGTTTATGTTAAGTATAATATGGTAAAATATATATTATATTTTACCATATTATCTAGATAGTTATATTCTATCATATTATTTAGTCTTTGCCTGATACAGATTATTAAAAAGATTGATTTAATGACCATGAACATAGAAGCTGTAAATTGTTCGATAAGTCAAGAATTTAAAAAAAAATAATATTAATCTGAAAAACAATAAATACAAGAAATCATTATAAAGTTTTAATTTTGCTCATATTTCAAGTCTGTAACACATTTAAAGGAACTGCCAGTAAGTTGGATGCTATTTTTATTATCTTTTATTATAGAAAAAACTGTTATCTAATTGTGGAAACTATATGTAGTTAATAATTTAAATAAGTTCCATTGCTAACTAGCTTGCATTGCTAATAACATTAACTCAATAAAAGTATGTGCTTATATGGCCAAGAACATTGCCAAGTTATTGTTGATCAAATATAGCCATACTAGTAATAAGCCAAGTATGATAAATAATACAAGAGGAAGGACAAAAAGTGAGCTTTATTAACTAATAGCGATCTGCTCCAGCTTCGCCTAGGCAGCACTAATTATCACTATCTAGCTGGGCTAGGGAAGGCCTATAGAGCTGTCACTAGGGAAATATACTAATCTATACAGATAAATAAAATTGGAGTGTCTGTTTGTAAAATTAAAATAACCGCTTTTTACTAAATGCAAATAGATGTTTACATGGTACATATAACAAAATTGCATTTTATACAATTTTTGTCTGTCTGTCTTTTTGTTCCGACTAATCTCTGAAACGTCTGGACCGATTTTGATCAGACTTTCACTGGCAGATAGCTGATGTAAAATGGAGTAACTACATTCCTTATTTTAAATTCCACGCGGGTGAAGACGCGGGGCAAAGCTAGTTAATTATAAAATATATAGATATAATAAAATATACAGCGTGTCGTTACCATCGCGACAATAAATGAATACACGTCTAACGCTACGTGCCAATAATCATAAAAAAATATTAACGTTAAACAAAATCCATAATTAAAAAAAAATATTTTTCAAACAAACTAATTAAGTAAAAAAGAAATTTGTAACATCCTATACAACTTGCGCCACAGCGTCGTATTACAAGCCTCTCCTTCTAACGCTATGTTTCGTCTCTTTCAAATTCATTCAACCAATTCATATGCTTTGTGACCTTTACAAATGAACTTTACGTTACGCTTTTATAGGTGAGGGTGTTCTAAAGTTCTTTGTTTTGGAAAATTTAATAACTCTGTAAATATTGATGTTTAAAGAATTTAAATGTTTAATACAACTTTAAAAAGTTATCTGTGTGTTCATTTATTGTCGCGATGGTAACGACACGCTGTATAATCATCATTCCGTTTGAGTCCACTGCTGGACACAGATCTCAACCACAGACTTTTTTTAGAGGTCACCTCAGAACAGTTCCCGACTGCCCCCTGAGTGTGTAACTTCTAAACCGTGCGCGTTCCACTCGCAAGAGTGCCATCCCCCGCGACCGCGAGTGCAACCGTGCCGCTCTGTATCTCCCCTTTTCGTAAGGAAAAGGGGCTGACAGAGCGCGCGCAAACAAGTGCGAAAGAATCCCATCAACATCAGCAGCCCGTGCACCCCTCCCCGCTCGCTGGGCGCCTCGCTGGGCCTCCCCTTTGGGGGTCTCACCCGGTGGGTTCGCCCGCGCCGAGGGGAGTAAGGTGCATGTTCGCTCGCTAGGGAACAGCACTGCCCGAAAAAGGGCCCCAGTCCGACATGTCGGACAAGGGTGATTCCCCCACCCGACACCGCAAGCGCGAGAAGCGCACACCGGCGGTCGTGGATCGACAGCTCGCCGCGCGAAATTTGTTCACCGGTGAGCAACCGACGCCGCTACCGCCGATCAGACCAAAAGCGCCATCACCACCACCGGCAGCCACTACCATTGAACACCTCCCCAGCGCACCGGACTACGAGCCCACGCCTGGGAAAGCGCCCGCGGTGACCACGCGGATATTCGGCGGCCCGGCATATGAACATGCCGGGACCTCGAATCCACTTCCTCCGCGACCCGCGAAGACGCTACGCCAACACACACCACCTGAAACCGAAGCATCTCTGTACGAAAAACGCCAATGCGTGGGCGCAGAGATGCCCACACCGGAGAAACACGCAATCGAAGCGGGAGCGAGAGCGTATTCACAGCCGCCACGCTCGCCGTCGTCGGATTCGTCAATAGCACGATCCGTAAGATCCACGCCGAGCTCCTCACCAGATCGACGACAACAGCAGCGTCAACCATCTTATGATCTGGAGGAGATGGGAGGCGAAGCAGTGTGGACAGATGTTACTTCCTACGCCACATTCGCCCCCAGCACTGACAGCAAATATCGCCGAACGACGCCACCGCGTTCACCGCAGCCGTCTACATCCTACGCAGCAGCGGCCATGCTGGCCTCGTCTCCCAAGACGCAGGCAGCACCTAAACCGAAACCGCCAACACCACCGCCATCTAAGGCACAAGAACAGGAGGGCACCCGCAAGGGTTACCCTCCCATTATAGTGGAGAAACTCCCAGACTGGACAACCCACTTCAAAAATTTAAAAAATAACCTCGGACACGCTCCCAACGCACGCCCGCACGGCAGAGAAGGGTTGCGTTTTATCCCGCAGTCGCCACAAGAGTATAGAATTATCCAGAAGTACTTGTACGAAATATCTAAGAACACTCAAATAAGCTGGCACTGTTACACGCCGCCGGAGGACATGCCAACGCGAGCGGCAATAAGAGGATTGCCGCCCGACACGAATAAGGAGGAAATCCAGGAGGCGCTCCAGCTCCTGGACTTCCCGGTGAAACACATTAAGTTAATTCCACCCCAGAGACAGAGACCTGGAGGACTATTCTTTGCCGCATTCGATCACTTAAGCAATGCAGAGCTAAGCAGATTGTATTCGATAAAAGAAATGCTGAATATGCCGGGCATTGAAATCACTGGCTGGAAGGGCAGAACCGGACCGCCACAATGCCACAGGTGTCAGATCTTCGGCCACTCCTCGGCAAATTGCCATAGACCCGTCCGCTGCGTTAAATGCGCGGGCGGGCATATATCATCGGAGTGCGATATGGCGGCGGGGGCGCACCCAAAATGCGCCAACTGCGGCCGCGCCCACACAGCAAACGACCGCAGATGCCCAGTTTATGTCAAAGAAGCCAGAAAACGGGGCATACCAAAATCAACCCCCTTACCCGACCCTCCGCGAAACACAACGGACGCAGAGGGCTGGACAACGGTCGGAAGGCGAACGACCGTAAACGAAGACAATACGGCGCCGCAATCCGCTTCTCGACGTAAACAAAGCGTTCGAGACAGCGCGGCGCCGCATACACCAACCGTCCACCAAGCAGCCACAACAAAGCGAGAAAGGGAAAGGGGACAGGCTGTCCCGCTCCAACAGCAACGCCCCACCGCCAGGAGACCCACCCGCGAGGGAGCGAGCGCGCCAATCGCGTCGTCCCACCGCGACACAGCAACGCGCTATATAAGCGCGGAGCGACCGCCCGTCGAGCCTCATAGGCGCGCGCCCACGGAGCCGGCCGGACCGCCGCCAACGACGCTCCAGCCACCGGCGAACGCGCCCATCCCCCGTATCAAAAAGAAAAAGAAAATACGTAAGACTAAACGCCGAGTCGGAACGTTGAAGAGACTACTGCTGAATCTGCTATAGATAGCGATAGGGACTCGCGTTCTAGGTCATCCCGAAACGTACGTTTTAATACTGAATCGGGCGCGGAGTCGGAGGATAACAACCAACGACCCCGCCCCCGAACGCGTATTTTTAATACTGCACAACCGAGGTCGCACACTCACACGAACCCATGGGTAGGGGGTCACGACGGCACGGCCGAGAGCTTCGCTGAGCTTATCAGTAGCCTCGTCCGAGTAGTCGCTGACCTAATTTCCGAGGTCCTCACTGCAATAGCAGCCGGGGAGGCGCCATCAAACGCAGTCGTGCGGGCAATCACCCGACTAGTATCGACACAGTATGGATAGGTCCCTAAAACTTATGTATTGGAACCTAGACGGTGCGAATCTGAGGACGGCAGAATTACGCACACTCACTCAATTGTATGACATACATGTTATACTTTTGGGTGAGACGAAACTTAGGTCGGTAATTACCTTCAAGCTTCCCAACTACTTCGTGTATCGGCGCGATGAAGTCACTCCGCAAGGTAGGGCGTTCAGAGGAACAGCAGTACTAGTGCGCAGAGACTTAATACACGACGAGTTGGGACTTAATAACTTTATTAATATGTCATCTATAGGGGTGAGGTTAAGTGTGGCTGGGACCGAGATTCGAACCTACGCCGCGTACCGTCCGCCCCAGCCGCATCTCTTCCCTACAGATATACACAGTATTTTTGATTCCAGCTCCCCTGCACTGATAGCGGGCGACCTCAACGCCAAACATTTGGCTTGGGGATCGCGAGTAGTCAATGCAGCGGGCCGTACCTTATTCGCAGACGCCGATCGATGGGGATATCGTGTGTTGGGTCCCTCTGAGCCAACGCACTACCCCACCGATCCAAACCATAGGGCCGATGTACTAGACATCGCGCTAGTCCACGGCTGGGATCGCCCGGTCGCGCTTGAAGTGTTGTATGACGTAGACTCGCCACATCTCCCCGTCTTGATCACGCTTGATTTGGGGGCCGAGTGTGTATCGGCCAAGCAACCAAGAATGCGGACCGACTGGGGAAAGTTTCAATCCGAATTAAAGGACTTTTTCGCTGCCCAAATCGATTACCACCCCGGAAGAAATCGAAAGCGCCGCTGTACAACTTAGCCAACGTATAACGGAGGCTAAGGAGGCGGCCTCGAAACTACTTCCGGATAATGTGCGCAGCGATAAACTGCCAATGCACCTTTATGCGCAAATTAAGCGCAAAAGGGCATTGAGAAAGCTATGGCAGCGCACTCGATGCCCTCGAATCAAGAGTGAACTTAATAAATTTGCAGAGAGGCTGTCGGAACAGGTGAAAAACCACCGCGGTGAGTTGTGGAGCAGACGCATTGATGACGCAGGAGAGCATCCTACGTCGCTCCACCTCCTGAACCGGCAGCTTTCTCGAGCCAAAACGGCTGTATGTCCCCTAGTCGACGGGGCGGGACTGCGTCATTACAGCGCTCAAGCGCGGGCGGACATCCTAGCCGAACACCTCGAGGGCCAATTTAAATTGAACCCTCCGAACTTAGGAAACCCTGTGGTCGGCGCGCACCACAGGCTAGTGGATAATCGCGTACTGGAGTTTTTGTCGGGCCCGGCGCCGGACCTCAGTGAGGTGGCATTTATGTCGCCTTCTGAGGTGTGGCGAGCCGTGTCGCGCCTACCGGTGCGCAAGGCCCCTGGGCACGACGGGATTCCGAATTCGGCGCTAAGGCAGCTACCCCGTAAAACTATCGTTGAAATTTCGCGGCTTTTTAATAGTAGTATTCGCGCGGGGCACTTTCCGGATGTATGGAAAACCGGAAGAATCTTCGTATTACCGAAACCGGGTAAAGACAGGAGGCTACCACAAAGTTACCGTCCCATTACCTTACTTTCGCACCTAGGTAAATTATTTGAAAGACTTCTTTTGAAACGGGTATGGCCACATATCACACTCCGCCCAGAACAACATGGGTTCAGGGGCGGTCACTCTGCAACAACACAATTAACGCGTGTGTTGCACGAACTAGTTTTCGATAAAAATGTCGGACGCAAATCGGTCGGAGTGCTGCTAGACATTGAGAAAGCCTTCGACCGAGTGTGGCATCAAGGCCTGACATATAAATTACTTGAATATACGACAATACCCCATGCAATCATTAAACTCATAACATCATATCTACAAAACCGAAAATTTTATGTTGTGGTAGAAAACTCGGTTTCGGATGTACGAAGCATAGAAGCCGGTGTGCCACAGGGAAGCTGTATTAGCCCAATTCTGTACGCGGTGTACACCAATGACATCCCCACCCTGGAAGGTCGCCTCAGGGAGGGTGAAAGAGGGGTCCACCTAGCACTGTACGCCGACGACAGCGCGTATTTTACGTCATCACGTCGGCTCGAGGTTGCAATTAGCAGGATGCAGAGGCTGCTTGACCTGCTTCCGGAATGGTTGGATAAATGGCGGATCGTACTTAACGTCGGTAAGACGTCCGCGTTCTCAACCGCCCGGATACTCACGCGAACACCACATCTAAGTCTCCGAGGGCAAAACATTGAATGGCAGTCCACCGTGACTTATCTCGGGTGTATGATAGACCGCACGCTAAGCCTAGTCCCCCAGGTGGACCATGTTGTCCGCCAAACTAGAGCCGCTCGTGCGGTACTACATCCCGTCTTGGCATCCCATCTGCCGACCCGAGTTAAGCTTGCGGTGTACAAGACATATGTACGCTCTCGGCTCACTTATGCGGCGCCCGCATGGTACGCCCTAACATCCAACCGTCAAAGGAATCGTCTTCAGGCCCAGCAGAATCTGGCTCTACGCACTGTCGTGGGAGCGGGACGCTACGTTAGGAACGATGTTATTGCGAGGGACTTGAGAATCGAACCCCTCGAATCCTTTATCGTACGTCTAGCGAGACGTATGTTCGACCGCGCGGACAACGGTCCGCATAAACACCTCAACGGATTCGCACCCTTGCATGCGCGTCCTCCTGAATGGCGCGCGCTTCCACGAGAGATATTGCAGCTGCCCGTCTCGCTCCCACACAGGGGGGGTGGGGGGGGGACGGCGGGACCGACGCCAATATAATAATGGCCATTGCAACGCCGTTGCTATGGCGACGGAGAAATCTGTTGTCATAACAGTGGCAGACGTGGCGGGTGCGTATACGAATAGTTGTCGACTGTTGTAGACATTTAACACTACATGACTAATTTATTAGTTACGTAGTGTTGAAAGTAAACAATGTCGGCACATTCTTACGCGCATCCGTAGCGCCTATGGTACATCATATAGGATAACGTAAACTTTAGAGTCACGCGTTATTCCACACTGTTCGCGTCCGATACTAGGAGCCATTAACCGGGGGGACGGTGCGCCCCTTGAGACAATGCCCGGGTTATGGGGTTCGATTCCCCGATGCCCGTACCTGCACCTGCCCGACTCCTAGGGCAGTGTGTGGACGACCCGTGTGTGTGTGTGTCATTCACATTGGACGCTCAATTCTAGCATCTTGCCCCGCTTGCATGTGTATATAGTAACTTAACATAATGTTACACCATCTTGTTAAATTTTATCATGGGTAGTGTAATAACTCCATTTAATTTTATAAAAATAAAATAATTATGATCTGCAATGGTATTATTGTATTTATTTCTAAATAATTTTGTCGAGTTATTCCTGCCAATTTCTTTTTTAATATACAATATCTTTTGGTTGAGACCTCTCAAGAAATTACCTAAACTTGGATATTGGCCATTCAATTATTTTGGTTGTAAATAAATTGAAGAAATACGCGAATAGCACGACGAAATTACAAACATAAATTTTGCCAAAATTGTGTAGAGTTACGATGTTTAATTAGTTTTTACTGTGAAATAAAACGTCTCGAAAGATAGTAACAACCGGCCAGTGTTGAACATCCACTAGAAGTAAGAAATGATTCTGGTCCTCTTCAGAGCAACCCTCCACATCACAATAAATTAATGAAAATTGTAGTTTACTTTATAATTTACATTTGGGCTATTTAAATCGGAATATTGTGCTGGTCCCTCCTTCTTGCGCTGTCATTATCGACCATAGATTTTTAATTTTCTTTGGTTTTGACCATTGATTAAAAATTAGATTTTTGCATACCATAGCACGTGGTGAAAAACGGCATTATGATAGCCCAAATGTGTATAAAGCCGTCTTCTATATGTTGTCCTAAAAGTTACGTCCATATTTAAAGAAAAATAATGATTTAGCATTAAGAACCTATGATTTTTTGACTTTTGAAATTGAAAATTATTGTTTGTGCAAGTCCACTATTCCACGCAGCTTTTAAAACATTTTTACGTAAGTTGTAAAAAAATACAGCACGATATTGTATGAAATTACTTTGGTTATTGAATTTTTTCTACTATGAATAGGGAAAACATGTTTTGCAAAGCATTGTTTTGTAAATATTTTGAATAAATTAATGTAGAGTTTTCTACACATCTTGGCATTAAATTAATACGATAACAGAATGTGTTACTAAAATGCATTCTGCAAATTGTTTCCATCGAATGTATATACCAGTTTATATGTTACGAAATTTATATATATCTGTATATTAGTAGCATTATTACTTAGGTTTACAAAACCTTGTTAATGGATTGTTGTTTCATTTATTTTTATGTATAATGTGTCAAATGGTGGTTACATTGTTTTTTCTGGTGTGACAGTCAATTTTTTATTTTGATATAGGAGCACATTTCAGGCGGCATTTTAGTAGAATTTGGTCAACTCAAAGTGCCCTATTTTTGCTCATCTGATTTTTATTGTTTTAACCCATGTTTTAC